CATGATGACGCACACCTTTAATCCCAATACTTGGGAGGCAGATGCAGGTGGGTCTCTATGAGTTCAAAGCCAGCCTGGTCTACATGGAAAGTTCTAGGACAGTAAGGGCTATATAGCAAAACCCTGCCTCAAAACAAAACTCAAATAGTTATTACAGTATTGTTCATCTCTATAACACTGTGGCCAACCACTGTTTTTGCCAGTGTTTGAGTTCCACGATGTTTTCAGTGCTGAAAATATACAAAGACCCATCACTTCCAAAGCAGGGCCAAGAAAGAATATGTAGGGGGGAGGGGCAACCTTATTGATTTGGGGTTCTTGGCCAGAAAGAAGGACACATGAATAGCTAAAATGAGGGAAGATACCCAAAGAGGAATTAAAGGAAAAATGAAATCTCAGGCTACACAATCAATATGCAAATTGTTTAAATGCCTATATGTGCTTAAATCCATGCTGAGAACTTTAGAGACCAACAGATTCCCAGCCTTCATACTTTCTGTCAAGCATCATACTTGAAAGTTGGAACATCTCAATTCAGAGTGATCCTCCCAAGATTACCATAACATCATAAGTCAGGGAACTCTGGCTGCATGCTTTCCCGAAGTCAAAACCTGAGAAGTGTTCCACCAGCTATGCGGTATTAGGCAAGTTACCTGAACTCTCTATACCTGTTTCCTCATCAGTAAATTTTAGGGGATGATGAGACATCCCTCTTAGGAATTACATAATTATCAAATGACTTAATATACACAGCATGCTTAGTCTGTTCCTAGCACCTAGGAAATGTATCCAGTAAAGAGAAGCTGTTAGGACTATTCATTATCCTTCTTGGTATGGTAGACTCAAAGGTCAGGGGTCTCAATCAACAACTGTATCTCTCTCCATCCTAATAAAACCTACCATGTATCAGTAATCACAATAAATGCCTCACAGATGAAGAAATGTACCCATGAAGCTGACGCCTCATCAAATGGCTCCCACGTGCCAGGTGCCAGGTGCCAGGAATTTGTTATCAGATACATCCACTGACAGCCCCCGAAAAAATCCACCAAAACACATTCTGACATTAACTAGTTGGAACAATAGAGCATAGGAAAATAAACGTTCTCCACAGAGTCTGGGCTGGAAATAAAGCCAGAATAGTGGAGACTGATTGCACAGCCTGAAAGTTTACTTACCTACTGAAGCTCTCTCCTAATGGCCTACGATCTGCCACAGCTGTTTCTTTCCGCTTCACTTTTGCTTTCAACCAGTGCTGCCTGGGTGGGTTTGGGGATCAGCGAAGGTGGCAGGTTGTGTGGGGGGCTGGGGGGTACGGAGATGGCCTGGATGACAGTTCCAGGAAAAGCAGCAAACACAAGCCAGTGTCTGCTTGAATGAGACCAGTGAAGGCTTGGATAGAACTTTCTGGCCTCATGTCAGATGGCATGCCCTTTAAGTCACTTGATTTTGTGGTGGGTGTGTGTGTGTGTGTGTGCGTACACATTTGTGCACACATTTTAGCTGTCTTCTTTACCCCAAGACTCATCCCCAAGGCTGCACATTCAGTGAAGTATACAAAAAGGTTTCTACTCTACACTAAGAAAGGGTCTGCACTGGCAATAACCAGGAGACATGAAGACCCTGAGCCGTTGAGAGGGAGACATCCATCCGAAGAGGTCAGTGCTGAGGCCAGAGTCAGAGAGTGAGGCCAAGATGAGATCCTGTTTCTCTAGTGTGGTTTTCATTGGGCAAGTTGCAGTTCAACCCAGAGCTGGTCCCAGCCCAGCTGGGTGACCCCCAGCAAGTACCAGCACCTCTGTTTCTTTATCTTGAAAATAATATATTGGTAACCATCTCCTAGGGTTACTGTAAAAAAAATAACCAAGGTAAGATGGGTCAGCCATTGCAGTACACTTGGCATCGACCCCAGCATCACCCAGAACTGTCAGAACCTGAGGGGCTGGACTCTGGAGTCAAACAGCTGGGAAGGCACAGTGCTCGCTCTGCCTCTGCTACTGCTAACTGTATGACCACAGGCTTCATCTGCATCATCTGAAAAAGGGAGACGCTAAGTAGTTCACTGGTTGAAGGTCTGCACAAAACATAATTAATGAAATACAGCAAATCATGCTCCCTGGAATGCACAGGTGCTTGCAGGGAGGGGGGTTACTTCTCAGACTAGCCTGCCTGAGAGGTCTCTCTCCAGAGTCACCTCTCTTAGCTACCCTGCTGCAGTGACACAGTGATGTCACTTTGGGGACCTGGAAGGAAAATAGCGAGAATTCTACGTAACCTCAGCCTTTCCTCTGCCATCTGGTCCCCACCCCTCGTTCTGCCCCCCTCCCACTTCCCCATCCCATCTTCACCGACATTCATCTCGCAGTTCTTAGACGTTTAGTGTTTCAGATTATCCAAATATCCATTCTAATCAAACTTGGATAAACTGTGATGCCTATACTTAATTAGAGTGCAATTTTTCATTTGTTTATATCAATCTTCCCTTTTATCTACTGGTCCAGAAGCCTGTAGTTTCCCACACAGTCACCCAGGACCAAGGGACAAACCAAGGTGAATGTCATACTCATCTGCTGCTAGATTACTTTCCACTTTCAAACAGCTGAGGTCACAGAAAAAATGCTAATTTCTCCAAAAGTTTCTTTTCTAAAAACAATAATAGAATAGCATATTTCTGATAGGGAACTTTTCCTTGGGGAGGTTGTATATGTGTGTCTCAGAAGCCAATAGCAAAATGGGACAAAACTCAGCATAAAGGAAAATAGCTTGTAGGACTATAGGAGTCCCCCAGAAAACAGGTTTAAACAGGACAATTCACAGACATTAAAACTTGTAGGAATTCCAGGGGGGGCATCTAAACTCGGTTATTTGCCAGCTCTGTTCATGTATAGATTCTTTTGTTCAGATGACATCTTACCCAGATTTAGAGAAAATCTTTGAGGTTCTTCTTGAATCCCTAGAAAAAGCATCAGACCTCCATGTTCTCTCCCATGCTCTTGCCCTTCAAACAGGACAGTTCCTAAACTACTGCCCTAGGGGCTAGGGAAATGGCTCTGTGGATAAAAGACTTATCTCCCAAGAAGGAGAACTTGAGTTTAGTGGGTCTCTAGAACCCATACTTTAAAAAACAATCCGGGTGCAGAAGGGCCTGCCTGCAATCCCAGGACTAGGGGAGCAGAGACAGGAAGAGCCTGCCTGGGAGCTTTGGACCCAGCTATGTGGCTGAATCAGCGAGCTCCAGGCCCAGTGATAGACTATCTCAGAAATAACCTAGAGGCTAAAGAGATGGCTCACAGTGAATATGATTTGATGCTCCTGCAGAGATCCTGGGTTAGACTCACAGCTCCCACATGGCCACCCACAATATCTGTAACTCCAGTTCCATTCCAAGAGATCTGACACTTTCTGCTGGCTTCCCCAAGTACCAGACACACATGCAGTAACACATACATACATGTAGGCAGACAAAACATTCACATACACAAAAAAATTTTTTTAAAAGCAAAATAAGATTGAGGGTGATTCAGAAAGACACCCAATGTTGACCTCTGGTCTACACAATCACACACACACAGAAACACACAAATGCATATATACACACAAATGTAAAGAAATCAAATACTTTTTGAGACAGTTTTACTGCATGAGTAGCCCTGGCTAACCTAAGACTCACTCTGTAGACCAGCCTGGCCTTGAACTCACAGATATCTGCCAGCTTCTACCTGACTGGGATTAAAGGCACTGTCACACCCAGCAAAATGATTTTTAAATAACTGTCTTAATCCTGTTTACCCCTATTACTATTGGGAGAATTAGTAGCCAGAAAAGCTGACTGTCTTGTCTAAGGTCACACAGCTAAGTCAGTGTCCTCAGAAGTCCATTGATCTTTCTCCAACTATTTTTCCATGGTGACACATGACTTCTTGGATGAACTGCCTTTTGTTTCTTCACACCACTCGTGTGTTTGGATTTGAGTGCCCATGCCCAGCGTTCCCAAGAAAACCTAACGAACCAGTCCCTGCTTTCACCTTCAAGCTCCAAGTCTGCAGTTTGGGCATGTTGGTGCCTCGGCTGCCTGCGGTTTGGGTACGAATGATAGAGGGTGAAAAATACTCCTCCCAGAGGACCTCCTATGTCACCATTAGATTAGAGAGCTGTCCTAAAAGGAGGGAAGTCCTCAGTGAGACAGCTGAGAGCTCACAAGCAAAGCTCCCCTGGGGTTTGGTTCTGCACAGTTGAGGAGCTGCAAGGCCCCTTCGTGTCCCCATCTGTAAAGCCTAGGAGACTGGAAAAGGGAGAGAGCCATCACCTGGCTCCAGTATTCAAACGGGATGCCCGCTGGATGCTAGGGTGAAAGGCCAGCAATGGTGCTGCCCACTGGCTCGCCCCCTGCCTCCCGGCTGGAGGTCACCATCAGGATCAATGGAAGGAAGGAAAATTCTGACCAACGTGCTTTATAAAGGGAACTTGTAGCGCCCAAGGACAGGCGTCCAGGTGATCTGCTGGCATTCCCAACTACAGCCTTCCCAGCAGCCATTATTGCATTAATCTGATGAATCCCAGATACGCTCATTAACTTATTCACAGTAACACAGCCGGAAAATGATGAGCGCCGATCTGGATCCCTGCAGCGCCCTTTTTTCTTTGCCACTACCCCACACTGCTGTTCTTTCCTCACACGCACAGAAAGGGGGTAACACCTTACACAAAGGTTCAGGACTTGACTAGCCCCGGAGAAGGCTGCAATGGACAGAACCAGGCCTGGATTTCCTTCTAGCTTGCCCAACGGAGAACGCCCCTGCAAGCACTCCACATTTATCTCCCAGGGGCAGGAATTCTCGGCTTGTTTCCTGGGTCCCCTCACGGGGCGGTGGGCAGTGAGATCTGGGCACAAGAGCAGGAGAAAGGTAAACTTTCTGCTTGTGAGAACTCCCCCCCCCACCAAGGAGCCGTGTCACACTGTATGTCACCGTCATCAAAGGGGCTGTGCATAAACCTGAAAAACCAAACGGACCTGTCTGTAGGTGTCACTTATATCACAAGGCTACAGGTGCCTTTATTTCTACCGTCCGCTGGTGCTGGGAGCACGCCTGCCTTCTCTTGCCTTGAAAGCCTTCTGTCTGGACCTAGCCGCCACTTGTCTTCACGTAAGCAGCTTTTCTTTGCTCTTTTGAATGAATTGAAAGGGGTGTCAGGGCTCAGAGACACAGCTGGGGGCCTGGGACTGAATCTCTATCTCCAGCTCCCACACCAGAGCCCCTCCATGAGACAGTCAGAGTGCCTCCTCCGGGGGTGTTTGACTCAACCTTGACTGCTTGCCGGAGAGATTTTTGTCTCCTCGGGCAAAGTGGCCACCCACCCTTTTCACGGTCTCCGACTTCCCTTGGATCCACTAAACCAAAGGCAGCTGAGAAAATTTGTACAGGCAGCTCAAATCTCTGCCCCTCCTTCATCTGCCTTTAGGAGGGAAGCCGTATTCTGCACAGATAGCCAGCTCGAGGAAAACCCACCACCTCCCCCAACCCTGACCTCAACTCTAGACTCCCCGCCACGGGGCGGGGGTGGGGGAGGAGGGAGGTCCTGCGCACCACTCTGCCCCTCTTGATGCAGAGAATGGTATTGTTACAGTTTAGGACATTTTTTCAGGAGTTTGTACAAAACAGTTTAAAAGAATCCCATCTGCCCCTCTCACAGCGCCTTAGAACAGAACGGTTCCAGAAAAACATTGGCTAGGGTTTTTTTTCCACTCTATTCTCAAACCTTATTTATCACTCTGCGTGCGTTCTGGGTTCCTGTGCATTCGCCCCCTTCTGGCAGCAACTGGAAACACACGTTCTCCCGCATCTGCGTTTAAGCGCTCAGAATTTCCTAAGAGAGAAATGGTATCCTAGAACATTAAGAACTTCATATCCATTTTATAGAAGGGACAACTGAGGAACAAGAAGGCCCAATAATTTATGGAGACAGTTTTTTGCTTAGTAGTCCAAAGTCCCAGACCCAGGCCGCTGTTTGCCCATCCACAGGAGAGTTTAATTATTCTGCTTTTGTGTTCTCTGCAAGTTTTTGTTTTCCTTCCATGGACAGCAGCTTTTAGAGTCTGGTTGCCTCCTCTTCCCAAAACTCTCCAGAGTGAAACTTTTTACCTACTTTATCTATGTTAACTGGTTTTACTCAGGACATTCGGAGGACTGTGTATTTAAAATGTCCATTTTAAGGATGAGGAAGCGTGTTATCAGAGACACTCATGAGTACTTACATAGCAGACCAGAATAAAAAAATAAAGCCAAAACTTTTAGCATTCAGGCCAGAAAGTCAGAAATTTCAGCAGGCTAGGTAGTTAGGAACCTGCTTCGTGAGTACTACAAGCAAAATTCATTCCTTGTGTCTTTAACTTAAAACTTGTGATCCATGCATCAAAACCCACAGCTTCCTCCTATGAGTCTCCAGAAAAACAGCTAAAAACAAACAAATGAAGTCCTAAGTAAGCTAAAGAAAAAAATGAAGAATTGCTTGATAAGTCATCAACAAGTTGGTTGGTTCCTACAATGCTGTGGTTGCTTCCAGAACAAATACTCGAGTACCCAACCCACAAGCCTTCCTTTATTGCAAGTGTTGAAATACCCTCCTTGAGCCCTCTGCATCCTGCCCTTCTTAAAGAGACCCACATGGTGGGAAACTGACACTCCTTGTCTGTAGGGCTCTGGACTGGGTGAGCATTCAGGTGCCGTGGAGCTTCAGAGAAGAAAAAGTATTTCTCTACTCAGTGACACTGGCCAGATGGCAGAATTGTGGACGGCCTTTCTCTGTCCTTTTCCTTATTTTGCACTGGTGTTGCTTTATTCAGAGATGTTTTGACAAAGAAATAGCCGACGCCTGTACATTGAATTTCAGGAGGTAGAAGCAGGAGGATTGGCTCAAGTTTGAGGCTAGCCTGATCTGCATGGCAAGCTCACACACGAGAGATGGGGAGGGGAGAAAAGAAAGGGAATGGAAAGGAGAGGAATAGCAAAAATGTAAATGCTTAATTGGGTAGATTTTTGGTCACATGCCCAAAATGAACTGGATGATCCTAGCCAAGGTCAAGGAGGAATTTTCCTCTTCTGGCAAACTGGCCAAGGTTGGATGGTTTGCGCCGTCACCTCTCTCTGGTGGTTCAGGCCATGGGCACTGTACCTGTTCGTTCTGCCATTGGTTTGTAAGTTGGACAGAAGCCCATGAGCCTGGCTCTTTGGCTGGGTGGACCGTGTCTGTGTGCTGGTGTATGAGGTTGCTCCAAAAGGGGACAGGAAGTCGCTGGAGGCTCTCAGTTCCAGGCCAGCCCTGACTCACTCTGAAGGTACCTACAATCAGCCTTCTGGACAGTAGGAGAGAGTTTGCCTGACTCCAGCGCCTTGGGGTTGATCACACCAATCCTTTCCTACTTATGAGGCAGCCAGAGTGGTAACTAATGTAGGAGAAACTGCTCCCATGTGCTGTTCGAAAGTCGGGGCGTGGGGGTCCAGCCGAGCTAAAGAGGGAAGGAGGAAGAGGGAACCAGAGGGGCTTTCTGGGGCTACAGATTAATCTGTGTCAGCACTAGTTGTATTTGACCAAAGTGCAAATGTTATCATTGTGGCTTCAAGAGTGTGTTGTGTACAGGTTTAGAAGTGTCTGGCTGATCAGGTGGGAACCTGAAGAAAATCACAGAGCCAGGGTTGACCTTGAGTTTGTCTCTTAGTGTCCTCCCATCTAGAGAGGGGCAGAAGGCAGGATCATGACTCCAAGTTCAGGGATCTTTCATAATGACAACCAGAGTGAGTAGACCAGCGGTCCCAGGAGCCTTCTAGTGTCCCCTTTTGTCTTGTGTAATGCCAGGCATATCTAACCCAGTTCTTTTTGCCTTATTTTCCTTACTACCCACCCCTCAGAGCCTTTAGTCACCACCATACCCATCAAGAGTGGCTGGGTAAAACCAGGCCTGGTCTTACATATTGTTGGTCCAGAATCCTCACTGAGAGGAGGGCACCACACTGGTGACCCACCTACATTAAAGAAACAGTCAAAATGTCCAATTACTGCAAGCACCTTCCAAGGCCTAAAGAAAAGGTTCGGCTGAACACAAAGCAGCCTTTATTCCTGAACTTGCACACCTAGTGCATGCTAGCTAAGTAGCCATGGCCTTTTGTGGTGAGCTTAGACTTAATAACGCCTCCTCTTACGACAATAGCAAAACAAGAAAGAAAGAAGGAAAAAAATGTTCAGTGCTTTCATAAAAGACCTCCCCCCACCAAAGAAGCAAGAAATAATTGTGGAAGGAAAACAGCATGGCATATACCCGCTAAGCTCTCTAAGCAAATCTAATGGGTATAATTTGCCGTAGAAGGAGTTATCGAAGGGAACCAAATCCATCATTGTGTGCAACCCTGAAGAGATTATGGATCGAGGGGGTGGGCTGGTGTGCAGGGGGAGGGAAACTCTTAAAGGGGGTAAACACCCTACTTGATCAAAAACAGTCCTGAGCTTTATAAGATCCAGCTCAATTCACCAAACGACTTTCTTGTTGAATACTAAGTGTCTTCTATACGTCAGGTGTGGGTGAAGAAGGGCAAAGCCAAGGTCGAGTTTAATCCTTGGCGGACGCCCCCATTACTTTGAAGACCTGGAGACTGTGATCTGTTGTCGTCCATTTGGGGCCCGCCTCTCCTTTCTCCAAATTCAGTGATGTCATGTCAGAAGTGTTCTGAGTGTCCTGCCCAGAAAGGGTGAGGCTCCTTCTATCCTTTGCTCCCATTTAGAGGATTTTCCAGAAGTTGAGTTCAGATTAAGTGTCGTATTCAGCTGTAGTCCTACTCCCTGATACCCCCACACCCACCCTGTCTAGACTCAAGCTAGAACGCTGGCCAATCCATGGGAAAGTCAGAGCCCGCCGGCCAATCCATGGGAAAGTCAGAGCCCAAAGCCACGAAGCCTTGGCTCCTGATTGCCAGTTCCCAGGTCCGTGGCTGTGATAACTGTTGGGCCCACTAACCTGTTCAGATATCAGGAAAAGGCTGGGGATTTGGAATACACAGGTACTGTCCCAGAGAGGATACCTAAGATGAAGAACCCAAACTCTTGTTTTACTTTTTACTTACTAGCATACAGTTCTTCTGCACACTGAATGGTGGTCGTGATGGTAGATTTGTGAGCATCTCAGAAGTTCCCTGTCACTCTTAGTGATCACTATATAAATGTGCCTGGAAGAAACTGTGCCTTTAGATGGGGATGCTGACAGACAAGGCAAAGTTAGGGCCTCCTTCAAGCTTAACTCTGCTACCCATTGGCAGTGTGACCTTGAGCAAGGGACAGATTCCCTGGATCTCCACTTCCTTCCCTAGCAAATGGCAGAGTTTATTTTCCAGCCCTGGTACTCCAGCACCGGGGAAGCAGGAGGTAATTCTACCCAGAGGTTGTCAAATCCCTCAAAGGGCTGGGCAGTAAAGATTTTATGATTTGCTGGCCAAAAGACAAAAATCAAGAATGCTAAGTAAACACGTATTTCAAAATCTAAAAGGATTTCTGGCTTCAGGATAAGTAATAATAATAAAAAAAAGAGGTATGGGCTGGATTGGCTTCGGGTTGGAGATAAATAAGTCCTGATTTAGGTGGTACATGAATGAACCATTTCTATTTGAGGCTATGCATTCGCTTTTATGTACATTAAAGAATACTAGCTTTCCATTTATAATGATAATATAAACTTTTCCCTTTAAAGACCCATTTACTTTAAAAGAAAAAAGATGGTTGTTCAAATTTTTTTTAATTTATTGTGTTCAGAGAAGCAAGTGGATTCAGTAAAATTATCATAGAAACAGGTAAAATGATGCAGTTTGAGGGACACTGGACTAAATAATAGAGAAGTGTTCATAACTTCTGATCCTGCATTATAGTTGTCCCTGGACAGGGACTCTCACTTTTGCCCTGACCTTTGCCTGTGCTGTGATTTTGAGCTGCTGTGTCCTCCCAGTGAATAGAGTTTGAATCAGCTTTTCTCATTAATTTTATTTCAAGAATTAAAGAAAATGAAGTTAAGTGAACAGATTTTGAAAAGAAAAACTTCTAAACATGATCTCCCCAACACACACACACACACACACACACACACACACACACACACACACACACACGTGGAAATACAGAACGCAGCACAGAAATAGCATTGTGCCTACAGGAAGGAGCAAAAGTGAGATTGGTGGGGCAAGAACACCGTCCTCTGCCCAGTCTCAGGCAGACACCTTTGCATGAACTCCCCACCAGCCGCCCGTAAAGTGCTCAGGGGGAGGCAGGCAGCAGACAGGACCAGGGACATTCCAAGCAGTCCCACCTGAGCTGCCGAATTTCATCTCCTGTCAGCTGGGGTAGCTTGTACTTGCTACCTGGGATCTCAGAGCCCCATCCTTCATCCATAAAACAGAACCTTTCTCAGCATTCACCAGAGTGGATGCTCTGAGGAAACCTCTAGAGGACTTAGCACAATACTCTCCACACACCCGAAGCAGCGTGGACTGGAGCAGTCAGAATTCTCCAGTGTCAGGAACGCCAGGCGTATGGTATAGATTGTGTAGAAACAGTGCTCCTGGGAGGATCCAGGGTTGCTCCAGTGCACTAATGTCACTGAAGGGTATCATGTAAATATTCACTAACTGAAATAAGTTAACTATAGCTATAACATTGTGTGATGTGTGTGTGTGTGTGTGTGTGCATTCATACACACATGTCTAATGCATAAAAACTTTGTAACATCAGTTCAGGACTCTTTTTGCTGGGAAATAAGTTTGTGGAAAACACATAGAAACTTTCAGAGATGTCTGATTTCATCATTCTGGATAGAACCACACAGGGCAATGCTTGACCCATTTTTACAAGGTGCAATTGTATATATTATATAAAATATATAATATATGTTATATATAATATAGAGTGTATATTATATATTACATATGGGGGTTCAGGCATGAGCAGAGAAAAAAGAAGAGGTAGGACTGCAGAATATGAGCCTCCATCCCCAAATCCTGGATCTGTAACGTTCTTGTTATGTTGCTTGGGCAACTATCTCAACTCCTCTGGCTCACCTTTCTCATAGGTGCAATGGGGATAGGCAGGATGTGGTGAGGACCAAAGAACACTGTCTGTGGAAAACACTTAATGGGAGTGCCTGTCTGATACCTTTTTTTTTAAAACTAATGGCCGTTCTATTGGGTGTTTCTACACATGTGGCTGTGGAAGCCCATGTTTCACACATCCTCACAGCCTCTCTGATATTCCAGGGTGATGTTGGACTCCGTAACCCATAGCACCTTTCTACCCAACACATCCTTCTGTGACCCCCTGATGTCTTGGACGGATTTGTTCAACAATGAAGAATATTACCCCACCTTTGAACATCAGACAGGTACGATCATCTGGGGGTTCTCATTCAACAGCAGTGGAAATCGGTTCAGGCAAGATGTACTGGCCTAGGGCAGCCTAGAAATGCCAGTGTTCAGGGCAGAGGCTGGTGGAAAGCCATGGGGAATGAAGTATACCCTTGTAGGGGAAGAAAAGGACTAAAATCCTCACTCTTACTTCTTCCTGTTTCTGTGTAAACTGTGCAACCTGCCTCAAAGCAATGTGCAGTAAACATGAGTCCCCTGCCAGTCATAAGGCTGCCTCTCCACCCTTCTCTCACTCTCCTTCGCCCTCCCAACTCCCAGCTCAGTTTTCTGTATCTACAAAGGAAGCTTAAGAACTTATGTAAATCTCATTGCAGAGGGAGGACAGCTGAGCTTTGCCCCAGAAACCGTCTGAGGCCTCCATGCCTGAGTAAGTGCTTGGGTGACCGCACATCCCAGCAAACCCAGCTGGCTGCTGGCATGGCAGGTGCACACCCCACAGGTGATGCACACCCCACAGGTGATGCACACCCCACAGGTGATGCACACCCCACAGGTGATGCACACCCCACAGGTGATGCAAGCACCAGTGAAGCTGTCCGTCCTCGTGGAGACTTAACCCTGAGCTCATCAGCCTGGTCAGGCCTGAGCCTAGTGTCTAGAGATAGGGAGTAATCAGGGGGCATCCATACTGTCACCACTACAAGGAAGTCCCTGGCTTAGTTAGAGCCGGAGGCCAGTGCTGCACACCCAGAATTGAAGTGATTCCGGAAACACGCAGTAACACACACACTCCCGCCCCCCCAAACACCTCCCCCATACACATGCACACAGGAAATCTCTCACATTCAGCCGACAGATCTATCTTGCCATGATCCATGAGCACTGAAAGATAAATGGGGCCCAACACAAAAGCACACACTCCTAAAACATTATGAGATATTTCTTTTGAAATACTTTTTGTAAGTCAGTAGCACAGTTCTCAAAGTGAACTTTGCAGATGACAATGCCATGTCACAATGTCGAAAGGTCACTGCATTTGCACTTGACTCATTTGGTCCCAAGAAGTATCTGGATTCCTTGGAAATGATAAACAATGTAATTTTCCTCCTTCTCTTAAAAGTGTTGATATGAGGTTAACTTGAAATGAAGGCTTTGGGGGAGGGGGTATTTACTCTTTCATGTTGTTGGTGCCTATTCTGCCAGATGACATTTGGGTGGCAGTAAGGAGATGACCTCATCACTCTGCCCACATGATACCCTGATGACCGGAGCAGTAGCTTCTGTAGTAGATCAGAATCTAGGCTGGCTTCCATGTGACCGTAAAGTGAAGAGTGGCTTTGACACTATCTGCTCCAGTTTAAACTTTCATGCCCCAGTCTCTATGATGGAGCTAGTGGTGGCGGTACAGACTGGCACCAACAAAACTCAGGGCTACTTCCAACTGGGGGTAAAGAGAAAGTTCTAGAGCTAATGGTTGTGCTAATGTTTGTATAATAGTGTGAACATACTTCATGTCACTGAACTGTACACTTTAAAAAGGTTAAAATACCCAGGTGGTGGTGGGGCACTCCTTTAATCCCAGCACTCAGGAGGCAGAGGCAGGTGGATCTCTATGAGTTTGAGACCAGCCTGGTCTACAGAGTGAGTTCCAGGACAGTCAGTGCTACACAGAGAGTCCCTATCTCGAAAAAAGTAAGTTTAAAATAGTTTATGTTTAGTATATTTGCCACAACAAAACAATATAATTCATGATCAGAAGATATCACCAATGGAATTGACCATGTAGCAATACTGTACACTCTTGGATTCTTGGGGGCAGCCCTCCACAGCCTGAGGCCTTGGCATTTCCACTAGTGGCATGGGGGTGAGACAATGTCATTGCTAAGATTCTTCCAGAAGTGTCTCTGAATCCCACATCAGGAGACATCAGAAACATAAATCTCTCTTAGTACCATTTTAAAAGCTTGAAATCTCGGCCGGGCGTTGGTGGTGTACTCCTTTAATCCCAGCACTAGGGAGGCAGAGGCAGGTGGATCACTGTGAGTTCGAGACCAGCCTGGTCTACCGAGTGAGTTCCAGGACAGCCTCCAAAGCCACAGGGAAACCCTGTCTCGAAAAACAAAACAAAACAAAACAAAGCTTGAAATCTCCATCAAGATACGAGACCACTGAAAATAAAGCATTCCCTTTTCTTTTCCCAACAAGAACATCATCAGAGAAATGACATGTGGGTCTGAATTTCTATAAAAGCCTTCTCTCCCAGGAACAGATCAGGGTCAGTCAGGATGCCCTGGCCACTGCCTTCCAAAGCTTGTCTCTCTGCTGCACACAGATCTCCATCTTGAATCTAGACATTGCCACTCTCCAGCCAAGTGACATCAAGCTTTTGGACACATTTTCCTTCACCTATTGTACCCACTCCCTACAGCTGGGAGTGTAAAATGGGAGTCAATGCTATTATCAGGTGTTGAGACAAGTTCCTGGCACTTGTCAGATGCTCACATCCATCCAGGACGACCTCACGACTCCTAGACAGGTGGAAAACAGTCATCACCTTCCTCTCTCCATTCTCCAGCCCAGAGCTCAGTAGTAACCCTTCCAATCTGGCATTGAGACCAAAGGTCTCGGAAGTGAGAAGGAGGTGATGCGTCCTGTACACAAGCGATGTCTGGGAGAGGCAGCCGCGATGCTCAGCCTGTGGGGGAAAGCCAGCTCTTTTCTAATTTTGACAATGACTTCAGGAGAGAGACGCTGAGCCCTCAGTGCCCTTACCACAAAGGATTGACCCTGCTCTTTGGAGCAGGACTTCTGGTTGACTGCACTAAAGGCTGGAAAGGGCACAGTCACAGATTTAAAATACTCTGGAACTTCATTAATTAATCTTGGCCTTGATGTCAGCTTTTTCAAAATTGAGAGTTGTCAATATTAGACAATTTATTCAAGCAGAAACTCTGTACTCCATATGCATATATAGCATATGAATTATACATATTTCATAGATATACACACATATGATTTTTTATTGTTGTTATTGTTTGGTTTCTGATTTGGTCTTTAGACATAGGGTTTCTCTGTGTAAAAGACCTGGCTGTACTAGAACATACTCTGTAGACCAGCCTGGCCTCAAACTCATTAAAGGCATGTGCCACCAATGCTGGGCCACTGTGGCTTTTGGAGGCAGGGTCTTACTATGTAGTACTGGATGTCCTGGAACAGGACAGGCTGATTTCCAACTCCAACTGCCTGCCTCAGTGCTGGGATTAAAAGCATATGCCACCATGACAGGTTTCACATACATATATTTTTAAAAGATTACATATCCAATTAAGTTCCCATAGTCCACCTTCTGAAAAGTTCTGGCCTCACCCCTACTTCCTGGAGTTCCAGCCTAGACAACCTCCTCCCCACATACCTCTTCCCTGGCCTTCAAAATGGCCATGCCAACATGTGGCACCTCCTTCATTTTGGAATTTTTCTCACGCTCTTTGCACAGCAGAGCTTTCTAGCCTGGGGAGGCCCAAGGGATTAAGATCCAAGGGGCCCCTCAAGTCTACCACAGTACAGAGCCTGGGTGGCAGTGGTGAAGACTAGATTCTACCTCTGCACCCCCACCAGCAGGCAGGCTCCTCCACATCCATTCTGTGTAGCTGTTATTAGGTTCAGCTGCAGGAGCAGAATGACACCTCCATCACCCAAGTCCAGCTCTGTCCTTCACCACTGCGTGACTTTACAAAGGGCTGTCTCCTGGACCCTTCCTTTCTCAGTTTGTAAAATGGGTGCTGTGATCTAAGACCTCACAGAACATACTGAGGACTGGATGAAAATCACAGTGTTTAGCAGGGTGGCTAGTACATCAGAGCACTCAAGGAGCACGAGACCTGTTGGGCCAATGGGTGGCCAGGTGTGGTGGTCCACGCCTTTAATCCCAATACTGGGGAGGCAAAGGCTAGATGATCTCTGTAAGTTAGAAACCAGCCTTGTCTGCATGGTGAGTTCCAGGATGTCTAGAGCCACATAGAGAAATCCTGTCTCTAAAAATAAGGGAAAAGAAATATAACAGTTCTGATTATCCAATTTCAAGAAACGTTTTTTTAAAGAATCGTGCAAAAACATCTAAGTATTAAAATCAAGGAGGAAAACATTTAAATCACATCTGGGCTTGTCTACTTAAGATTCATGTGCTGGGTACAGAAATTCAGGAGTATATCCATGGGCACAGACCTAAGAATTTCTAAATCAAAATCAAAGAACACACATAAACTCATTCAAAAGTCTAAGTTGAGTTCTATAGCAGAAGTCACAGCCCAGTGACGTCACTACAGGCTTCCTGTGGCTTGTCTACCCATGGAGGCCTTCAGAGGAGTCACACACAGCACTACTCCCGCCTGGCGTTCTCAGCCCCTTCCAGACTCAAGTTCATAGCTCTCACAGACACCCAGCCAGCCCTCCTCTTTTCTCCATCTAGGTTCTTACACTGCTCGTGGTCTAAGTCCTTCCAAGGTTAGGATGAAAGCCAAGAGAGGTTCTAGGATGGGGCCAGGCTAGCTCTGAGAGAAACCTGGAAGAAGCCATTTATCACCACAGGTCTTCCCTCATTAAAAACCCTTCCTTTCTGTCACAAAGCTACAATTGATGGCGCCCTATACTCCCCAGTTCACTTACCACTTCTCTTCAATGTTGCCTTGGGCGAAAAACTTTCCCAACTCCCTATGCTAATAAATCATGCTAATTATGGTCCCAAGTTGTCTAACTCAGGCCTCCCCTAAAGCAGACTACTCCCCTTGCCTCGTACTGCATTTGCTTTGTTCTACTTGTCCCTCACTCTGAGAATGAACATAGGCCTGCCATGAGAGCCAGGCAGCTACTGTCCACTATGGTATGAACTTTCTAATCTCCACGTCCCTACCTGGGGCTACTTCAGGCCTGGGTGTCACCTCCCTACCCTGAGGGCCCTGGACCACATCAGCCTGCAGTGAAAGCTGAAGTTCCAATGAAGTTAAATATATCCAAGTCGATAGCTTCATTTGAGAGAGCTTCCCCCCCCCCCAGTGACAACTCTCTCAGGTGCCAAGTTTTTCTTTCCAAGGCAGCTGACCCTCAAATGCCCTGACCCACTTCAGACTTCAAAGGCACTGGCAAAGTCTGCTCTTTAACAGTGGCCTCTGGACTTCTGCATTAAGTTTCCTGGGCACAGGATGCTGGCTGGCCTCAACTAGTATCATAGGCAAATGGAACTCATAACACAGCTTCTCCAAAAAGTTCAATGAGTTTTGTAAATGAGACACAGGAAATTAAGGAAAACACTGTACCTTTCCAGACAGTATAACCCAGAAAGAGAATATATTCTTATATATATAGTTGCTTTTTTTTTTGCCCTAAGTTCATTTCTCCCAAATGCTAGAAGGCTCTTTTTCATGTAATTTCCTAGGATTGGAGGCACTGGCATCATTACCTTTCCATCCTCTTTCTGATTTTTCAGACCTAAGTTTTAGATAGATAGATACATGCTTACATACATACATACATACATGCATACATACAGATAGATGAAAGAAAGATAGATGATAGATAGATAGATAGATAGATAGATGATAGATCATACATACATACATACATACATACATGCATACATACAGATAGATGAAAGAAAGATAGATGATAGATAGATAGATGATAGATCATACATACATACATACATACATGCATACATACAGATAGATGAAAGAAAGAAAGATGATAGATAGATAGATAGATAGATGATAGATCATACATACATACATACATACATGCATACATACAGATAGATGAAAGAAAGATAGATGATAGATAGATAGATAGATGATAGATCATACATACATACATACATACATACATACATACATATGTAGACTTAATGACTGATAATTGTGTGGTGGATATGCATCAATCTGCCTGCCTGCCTTCATCCAAATCTTGTTTTTGATATGTGTACCAACTTGGTCCTCCAAGACCAGGAAATGTGCCATGATGCAAGATGTCCACATGGTGCCTAACTACCTTACTAATGGCCACTGTGACTCTGGAGGGGGAGCCCTGTAACCTCCCAGAACCTGTTTCCTTACCTTAAGGTAAAGATCATAATCACTGGTGATCTGGTAACACTAACTGAGGACCTGTGGGCTAAGGAGGAGAATGGGAAGGGGCTGTTAGCACTCCTGGTTCAGATGAACAGAGCTCAAGACCTGGGGAGGGAAGTGCTTGGATCCTTCTGGAACCTTCTGAGAAGTCACCTGAGGGCAAGATTCTTTGAGAGAGTAAGTGAACAGCTGTGGCTCAGGGAGAGCAGGAACCACTCAGGAGTCAGCAGAATGGGGAAAAGGTACCTTCAGGCAGAGAGCAGGGAGTGACAGAGGGGCAGATAACAGAGGCCCTGGAGCGGGATTCCTCCCTTCTTCAGTATCCACTGAAGCCTCCACCTCGTCCTAAGGCTGAGACCTTGGAATCACTCCACCACCAAAATGTCTCTGTGGATGCTGCCTCCACTAGCCCTGCCTCCACATCACTGAGAACAGCCGTTTCTTCCCAGCTCTGGAGACCGTGGGAAGGACTGTTAGAGACAGGAAAGCCAGCCACCATGTAGCTGAGCCCCAGGCCCTTGTTGCATACAAAGCCGGCTCTGTAATTGAGCTCCACCCTGGAGCTGAAGAGCAGGATGCCAGGCCAGCAACACCTTCCTGATGTCAAGGCAGACCGCCCACCTCCCACTTCTCTAGATTCTGAAGGCTCTCTTGGCTTCCAGAAACAACGGAGTCTTCCTTCAGATGCCAAACAAAATAACTCAGTGGTAGAAACGGAGAGGGAAAGGGAACAGAGACACAGCAAAACCTTTCCACGAAGAGAAACACGCTGTGTGCTACACAGCAGTGCACCGATAGCCATCTCAGTCAGGGCCCAGTGCAGGACCAGCAGCCAAAGAATGTCAAGGATCATAAACATCTCTCATCAGAATACCAGGAACGTCTAAAGGCCTCGGGTTTACTCAAGCCAGAAATCAGTAGATGGAAAGCACACACAGAACTCAGGAAGCGTCTGTTTTCTCAGGAGACCCTGCCTCAGGAGAACCAGCCTTAAGCCTGATCAGCCAGCTCCAGCCAGCAGTGGGGGATCAGGGAGAGGGGAGTCAGGTCAAACCATCCCCTCGATGTTTTCAACTACCAAGCAAAAGCTATAGCATCGGAACTCACCAGCCTGAAAAAAATGCAGGCTCTTTCCTGTTAAGGGACTGGTGACTTACTTCAATAAATCACTTGCTACACATGTGTGAGGCCCTGGGCTCAATTTCCAGGCCCAGAAAGAAAAAAACATAGTTAAAATTTTAAAATAAAACAAGTCTAGGATTTGGGCTTACCAAGAGGCTCAACAGTGGGGAAAGAGATTTCTAAGAGTCTGTGTTTTAGAGGGAAACTCAGTTCCTATCTTTATGACATAGCCTTGCCATGCCTATGAGGTAGGATCACTGGAGGGATTTGAGAAACCAGATGATGCCAATCAGGACTTGGCACCTCAACAGGGTGGAGCTAGGCACAGCAGCAGCGAGTGGGAATTTAGAGGCAGGGGCATAGCAACAGCAGCAATGTCAGTTGGGAAGTGTCACTGCAGGATGTCACTCTCCAGCGGCTCCAGCCATGCTCTGCTGACTTCCCCTCACTCTCTCTAGCTCTCTGCCTGCCTCTCTCTTCATGGGCCATGTCTTTTCTGTGGGGGATCCTCCAAGGGGGATGAGAAGAGCGAGGCGTGCGGACTGCAGCCCACAGTCCAGCTTTGCTTCCCGCTGGCAGTTGGATCTAAGGAAAATGAGTCTCCCCTCCTCCTCAAGTTCCTCATCTATCAGAGGGCAAGGGCTAAATGTGTCTATCCACCATAAATTCCTACCATCAGATTGTGGCATCACGCAAAGTAGGTGGACAGTGACAGCATTAAACCACATATGAGCTCGTTTAATTAGTAGAACAACCCTATGATAAAGGTGCTATAGTTGTCTCCATTTCATGAAGAGGGTAAGTGAAGTTCTCAGTTATTGGATGGGTGGACAGCAGGTGGGTGGATGGGTGGGTGGGTGGATTGATGGATGTGTTGTGGACTGGTAGGTGAGTAAATGGATAGATACTATGGTGATTACACGAATTATTTACATCAGGGCTGGGAGTGTAGCTCAGTGGTAACTTTACCACTGTGCTTGCCTAGCCTGCACAGGTAGCTGTCTGCAACCATCAAAGACTCTAAGTGCCTGGTACCTCCCCTTGCCAATTCTTATATATGCCATTCTATCTGTTTCTGCTGGAGAAACTTAAACAAGACTGTTGAGGACCTGGACAATGTGTCACTGCATAAATCCCAGCCTCCAAGTCAGGACAGCACCTGCAGCTGTCTGAGTATCTACACAGGTCCTTTGCAGGAGTAGGTAGTCTGATCACAGGAACACAGGAACATCAGTCCTGCTAACTCCTCCATCATCTCCTTCCTCCACAGAATCTGTTATGGTGGTCCAGTCTGCCACACTATGGGCAATATCTATGTAGCCCCAGACCCTTTGTAAAAGACGACCAGAAGCTATGCAGATGGGCACAGGTAGCCAGATGGGCATCTATCCATTAACACACAGAAGCTCAAACCAGTTTCAAGTAGAGCCTAGCACACAGAAGGCAGCTAATAAGGAATGAATTGAATGGTAATTCCCCAGGCACTAGCCTCAAAACTCTATAACAACCCTGTAGATCAAACATACTATTCCCATTTGTCAGCTGTGGAATCAGAGACCTAAACATCTGTGGACCTTACCCAAAAGGCAAGCAGCTCGATCAGGATTTGAACCCAGACCTCCTTCAGAGCTCCTGAGTTCTTATTCTTGATACCATGTTGTCTCAGGAATATTTTTGTTCTCTTTCTCTGTTGGGTACCCTCCTCTTAAGCACCAGACAGAGATATAGTAATTTCCCATCTGCCTCATACTCTCTCTGGCCCCAACAACCACCCACAGAGTCCTATCTCTCTGGTCACCTCTTCAGAGAAGGTGACCTGGATCTTGCAGGGGCACGCCAGAACTAGAGCCCTCTCTGCCCACTGGGTAAGGGACGGGGCTGCTAACACAACAGGACTATTCTTTGGAGCCCCTTGTGGACTGTCATCACTTAATTCTTTGTGCTCTGGTGCAGCCTGTGACTCCTACTGGACCTCAGTGCACCCTGAATACTGGACCAAGCGTCACGTCTGGGAATGGCTCCAGTTCTGCTGTGATCAGTACAAACTCGACGCCAACTGCATCTCCTTCTGTCACTTCAACATCAGTGGCCTGCAGCTGTGCAGCATGACACAGGAGGAGTTCATCGAGGCTGCCGGCATCTGCGGGGAGTACCTGTACTTCATCCTCCAGAACATTCGCTCACAAGGTCAGTGCCAGCAAGACTCAGGAGAGGGGCCTGAGACTGGGTCTGGATCTCTGCAAGGTGCTTCCCTCCCCATGACTCTCATAACCAAACATGACTGATGCTCGGTCAAAAGCTCTCAGTAGCCAGAAATCCACTGTCCCTTGTGTTGAGAGTTTAATCAAAAGAAAAGTCAGAGCCAAGAAAGCAAGTTGGGTAAGGTTTTGTCTTAAAGAAAAGTAAAACTCGGGCATGAGTTGAGGAAGTCCAAAGCCAGGCTGAAAGCTGCAAGCAAGCATGCTAAGAACTAATTAAACTGTAAAAGGTGAGCAAAAGGAGTGTTCTGCTTCATCCCTGACAGGTGAGGGAGACAATGAAACAGACCTTTCCCCTTCCCGAGGAGTCCAAAGAATTGCCTTTCTTAGTACAGTCCTTTTGGTCAATGATCCAATGGCCAGAAGGTGGCACCAGTGGCATGGGAACACCATGAACATACACTGTTTTCTCAAACCAGACAGCTCCTTTGAGAGCATCTGCTTCTGTGCCCTAGTGATGGAGCAGCTGATGTGTGAAGCTCCCTGCCTTCGCTCTGGCCAGACAGTGTACAAGGCTGCTCCACAGGCAGTCAGGACAAAGTGAGAGCCGGGAAATCTGAAGGACCCATTGTGTTAATAACAGATCTTATACGTGGAAGCCAAAGGAAATACAAGAAGCATCCCCTCTCCAAATCCCTGAAGGCTTTGTCTGTCCACTGGAAGGATAGACCACCTTCCCTGGACTTCTTTTTTTCCTTTTTCTTTCTTTCTTTCTTTCTTTCTTTCTTTCTTTCTTTCTTTCTTTTTTTTTTTTTATTTTTCGACACAGGGTTTCTCTGTATTGTTTTGGAGGGCTGTCCTGGAACTCACTCTGTAGACCAGGCTGGCCTCGAACTCACAGAGATTCACTTACCTCTACCTCCTGAGTGCTGGGATTAAAGGCGTGCTCTACCAACGCCCGGTCCCTCCCTGGACTTCTTTAGAGGATTACTTGGCACTAAGTAGCAACTGTTTCTATCATTAATACAACCATGAGGCCGACAGGGATGCAGTAGGGGGGCACACTATAGCAGACACATCTATGTTTGATTAAATAATCTTAAAAGTTGTCAGTTTTGTCAGTTTCTCTTAGAAAGGTTACTTGAAAAGGCACAGAAAGCAGGAAGCTCCCTGCCACTGGGGAGCCAAGTTGTCTATGCATCCCTCCTTGACAGGGATGATCAAGACAGAGATTCCATCTGGGTAGAGAAACCTCAGAGCACCTTCCAGCTCTGTGAGTCTGGGGCCTCCATTTGCTCCTCCCCATCAGGAGGGCCTAAGGGTAAGAAAGCAGAGAGTGGTGACCCTGAGCTAGAAGTACTGTCCTTAGGGTGTGTACTCCCTAAATAGGAACAAGTCTGTCATAGCCACCCTTGGGAGGGGGAGTCTGGAAATCCATTCAAAAACCTCCTAAGGGCCAGGTGTGGTTGCACACCTTTAATCCCACCAACCTGCTCCATTTTGAAGTTCTTCCCTTAAGGTTCCTCAAGAAACTCTGTACATGTGCTTCGTGACCAGAGTTTACACCCCAGCAGTTTGCCCAGGACACAGTGGGCTCACTGCTCATCCTGACATAATCACCATTAGAACTCTCTCTCTCATGCTGAGGTCTCTCCGTTTGGACAAAATCTATATTCTGGGTAACTATCTACCTTGTACCTTGTGTACCCCATAGTCAAGGACCTTGCAAGAACAGGGCGTGGAACAAGGAAGCTTCAACCAGGGGAAGCACTAACCAGGCCTCCAGAGTCCAGAGGATCATCTGATCAGTAGATATTGCAGATTTGAAGGTCTAGAAGCATGGAGGCACTGTACACCAGAAGTAGATATCAGGGGAAAGCCTGGTGTCACAGAATGGCTTCCACAATGTAGGACAAGAAATATCTCTCAACGGTCCCTGACCCTGTTCTAGCTGGCCCTTTGGCTAGAGTGTTCCAATTGTGTTAGTAAAGAGAAAATAGCCCTCATGTTGGACACCAAGTTAGGAAATAGGTATCTGTTGACCTGACCTGCTTCCCGGAAACATGATCTTAAACCCCAGCCCAGCTCACCATTCTGCAGAGTAAGGAACCAGCATTGTCTTCCAACGAACTGAGCATTCAAGTAGAGCTATTATGACCCCATGAGTTTCTTATCCTTCTCTTCACTTTGGCTATTATATCACAGTCATTCTGATCTCCAAGTCCCATGTCATAAATTATATTCTACTGAGACTAACCAATGATCCCAGAGAGCCTGTAACAGGCAAAGCCGCACAGGCAATAGTGGTCCAGCTCAGTTCAGAGCCCAAATTTTCTGGAGTCTACACAAGATTTACTCTCTTAGAGCTCAGTAGCAGACACACAGAGGCTTCTAGAGCCCCTGGCATCAGTTCTTCTTAGGTCACCTCTGAAAAAGTATTACGTTGCCATCTGACTTCAGGATGGCTTTATAAAGAGCTAGACGGCATCTGAGTTTCCCTCTGACAAAACCACCCCTCTGAGGGGAGAATCACTCCCCTTCTTCCAAAACCTCCCCTCCTCATCCGGCCAGCCCCCTGGATTGCATGGAATAGTTTGTGAACCTCCATTTTTATTCCTTTCCCAGGTTATTCCTTTTTCAATGATGCTGAAGAGACCAAGACCACCATCAAAGACTGTAAGTATGACATTCAAACTGCCCAAAGCTGTGCCCAAACTATTGCTGGCCACTTGGATTTGATCCTGTTTCAACAACAACACTAGAAGGTGCATGAACCAAAACAAGCCAAGACTTGGAGTAGAGAGATTAGGTTAAAAGAGTGTGACTATGGATGAGGGCGTCTGTGGCACAATAGCTCATGTCCATGGAGTCCTGTCCTTACCAAGACTCCATTTGTCTGCCTGTAAAGTATTTGGACCCTTCTCAGTTGTGGTTAGCTTGAGAAGCAATGGCATTTGTGTCTGGTAAACGAACTTTCTGGTGCCTGCAGTGTGGATACTATAGAGCCAGTGTCCATTAGCCATGACAGTAATGACTCCAGCCATCAGAGGCCTTATGGTTGCTGATATTTCAGAATAACCAGAGCCCACTTGGTAGGTCAAATAGATAATTAGAAGATGATGGGGAAGTCTCAAATGGCCTGTGGTCCCAATGATTAGTCTCATTTCATTTCTGCAGATGGAGGCAGAGAAAGGGAACTTTGGAGTTCCCATTTTAAAAATATTTCTGTTTGTTCTTTGAGAATTGCATATATGTATGCCATATATTTTGGCCATATCTATCCCCTACTTCTCCCAGCATGTTCCCCTCCCAGCCTCATGCCTTTTCTTAAAAAAACAAACAAACAAAAAACCATAATACATGATTCTAGTCAGTGCTGCCAATACATGTGCAAGGGTGTGGTGGCATCCACTGGAGTATGGACAACCAATGCTGCCAATACATGTGCAAGGGTGTGGTGGCATCCACTGGAGTATGGACAACCAATGCTGCCAATACATGTGCAAGGGTGTGGTGGCATCCACTGGAGTATGGACAACCAATGCTGCCAATACATGTGCAAGGGTGTGGTGGCATCCACTGGAGTATGGACAACCAATGCTGCCAATACATGTGCAAGGGTGTGGTGGCATCCACTGGAGTATGGACAACCAATGCTGCCAATACATGTGCAAGGGTGTGGTGGCATCCACTGGAGTATGGACAACCAAGCAGTAGCTACAGTCGGCCACCCTGGAAAACTACTACCCCTCCCCCATCAACTACCAATAGGTGGAGCTACCTTTCAAAAAATGATTATCACTGCTATTAATTATTGAGTCACATGCAAAGATCCTGGCCCAAGGGCTGAAAAGAAATGTGATCCTGGATAGGTCCCTTTCTCCATGGACTTTTGCTGGGCCACTGTAAAGAGTAGGCAGGCCACACACATGGTGTTTTCCAGGCCCCTCCTCTCTGAAAGACAGATACAGAGAGACAGACAATGAGGGTTAGTTAGTTGTTAGGATTTTTAAGCTCTATGTTAGTGTGTGTGTTCTTGTGTGTGCCTCTGTGTGTGTGTGTGTGTGTGTGTGTGTGTGTGTGTGTGTGTGTGTGTATGACAGTGCTAATATTGAGATCAGAGGAAACTCATGGGAGATAGTTTTTCTTTCCACCATGGGTTGCAGGAATCAAACTCCATTCATGAGGCTGACACAGGCAATACTTTTACCTACTGAGTCATCTTGCTGGCCCAGAATTTCTTCCTCTCTCCCTAAAATCCCCATCTGAGGATTTAAGTTCTTAGACTTCTGATTAATTAAAGTTTTGTGATTTTTGTTTGTGGGTTTAGGGAGATTAGCTCAAGAATAGCAGCTTCAGTTGTGAAATGGGTCACCCCCATCCAGCACCAAAGATCCTGGCTGCTCTTACGAGAGAGAAGGAAGAAAAGCTTTCAGGGGACAAAAGCAAATGCTGGGCCCACGAGATCTTTGAAAAAGAGTTGGAAGGTGTGTCATTGGGTTGTCCAAAGCCAGTAGCCGCTAACCATATGAGGCCATTACTTTAAATTAAATAATGTTAAGATTCAAGTCCTCAGGATCACCAGTCAAACTTTAAATGCAGTCACAGCTGGCCAGGAGCCACCATATTGGGTTGCTGGCATTCTCCATCACAGAAACTTCTGGGCATTATCAGTGAAGAATCAGCCACATTCACAGAAGGGATGGGAGCTGAGGATGAGGGCTGGGCATTGGCAGATTTGTGAGTAGTGGAATTTGGATTTCATGCTAATCTGCCTGAGCAGCCACAGAAGGATTGTAGGCATGGAAATAGTGACGTCCATAACTAGATTTAAAGATCTCTTAGGCTGCTGTGTCAGGGTCAGACAGGAGTCTAGCTGAGGGCCTGCTATTTAGGATGGCGATGCTAGCAGCCCAACCAGTAAAGCAGAAGAAATGAGAAAAAGCTTCTGGAAGTGAGAGTGGTAGGGGAAAGGCTTTAGTAAGTGTGTTTAGGACTCACAGAGATAATCCCTGCTGCTTGAGGCTCTGATCCATCTGCCCCAACCCGGAGTGGAACAATGCATAGACTGAGCCTAGACTTAAGGCTTCGGTTGAGACTACCCAAACAGTAGCTCCACAGTTCTTCCTATTCCAGGCCCAGTTCCATGGCCAGGACACCACTGCCTTCTCCCGAGCCCTGACTCTGACTTTTCTGCGGCCTTCAGGACCGTGATTCCCCAAGCAGAAACGAACGTAGAACTTGAAGGGCAGTAGGCATGAGGTCAGTTATTTTATAGCTTACACAGTAAGTCTGTCCTAGGAAACACAGACCATGTGGCCACAGAGTCTATGACCCAGCAAAGTTTTATGGCCCTAGATATCCTAGAACAGGAAACCAGAGGCCGCTTTTCAGTGCTGATGCCAAGTAGAGACCACAGCATGGCCAAGGAGGGCAGGGCGGCATCCTAGAGGCTTCTGTAAAAATTGCTAACGATCATTACTTTTATGCACTTAACACTGTGCCAGGCATAGAGTCAGGAATTTAGATGTATGAACTCACATGTACTCCCCCATCTCCATTTGCTTCTAAAGAAACATGAGGTGCAGCAACTTGAGAGTAAACACAACCCTGGAGCTGATTTCAACTTGTCCTCTCGGTGGCTCTGTGCTTACATATTTGGCTACACACAAGCATACACCCTGCTACATGCACATACACACAAGCATAGCTCCTCCCAGGCCCTTGTTTGTTCTCTTGCCCACTTAGTGGAGACTCAAGTTTCCTGAGATGTGTCTAGCTCTGAATCTAGTTTAACAATGATCCGTACAGTGGATCTTCAACTTAGCTCCTACCAAAAGTCCAGCAAGTCATCCCCAGGCCTCCATCCTAGCTTCGAGAGGATACCTGACTATGATTTTAATCAACAAATGATAATAAATCCCTTGGCTCTATTATAAGTTTCCAGTCTCAAGGCCAACCAGGCCTACCCAACCTGGAAGACAGTAGCAGGGCTATGCTTCCCCTCAGGCCACACCGGCTACATGGATACAGATCACATACACACAGGCACCTGCACATGCACATACGCACAGAGGCTGCTGTTTGCAGAGAAATGAAGTTCCTACAGGGTACTGCAGCAGACCAACTGCTCATCTTGGTGAAATGTTTAACCGGGCCCCTGCCTCAAGATCGACGGTAATGACTTCACCCTCTCTGTCTCAGCCTCTACCTCAATCATTAGATTAAAAAAGAGCTTTAGAAGCTTCTGAATCCATGAGGGCCTTCAAAGTCACCTGGACCTGGGTGGGACAGTCAGAACAGAGGGATGTGACCAGATGAACCATCTCAATGTCTCCTGCGATGCCTCCTGCTCGGCGCTCCAGCATCACGCCGCAGAGCCTCCATCCCAAGCACAAGGGACCGCAGGCATGAAGTGCACGGCCTTTCCCTGGCTCTCCTGATAGTTCAGTGGAGGCTTCTTACCCATTCACAGTCACTGACTGGCCTTTGTGTATTGTTATGACTCCACTGCTTTCTCCCTAAAAGATTCAGGGACACAGTGGAGAAGTCTAGAGATGGGGACAGACACACAGCACAAAATAGCACTGACGACTGCTCAGCCCATGAGCTAAGTGCTCACTCGGTGTCTGCCAGATGCCTCTGAGAAGGACATGATCGCGCCCTGGTTGCGATTGTTAAGTCTGGGATGGGAACTCTGGAGTCAAGGCCCAGCTTCCCACCTGGACAAAAGTCTTAAACTCTCTGGGCTTCAAACTCCTCCTCAATAAAATGACAACCATGTCACCCAGGGTTGTTGCGAGACTATGACGTCACATATGAGGCCTCCCTCTAGTGAGCTCTCAGCGTTCAGTAAAAGCTCCATAAACATCGGCTCTAGTAGAGAAAAGTCGAGGTGCCCTTAGACCTCAGGTGCGGGTGGGGGCTCTAGCCCAAGAGGTGACTTCGAGGAAGGGTTCTGAAGAGGCTCTGGGAGAGCGACAGTCAGCTGAGTAGAAGCGGTGGCTGAGGAAAGCGTGCAAAAACCCGGAGGCACAGGAGAGTCACACCCATTGAAGCCAGCTAGCTTCAGAGGTGAGAGAAAGTTGGGGTGCAGAAAGAGATAAGGCTAGAGGGCTGGGTGTGGCCCAGTTTATGAAAGGCCTACCTAATGAGATAGCCTTCGTCTTGGTGATAAAAGGGGACCGCTTGAGGGGTGATACGACCCCGTGGCACAGAACACAGGACCTGGGTAACAGTGTAGACAGGACACCCTTTCTTCCCAAGATGACATATCTCTTCCTTTGTCCCATTAGCACACATCATAGACTACAGCGTCAGCGTGGTTAGTGTAGTGTAGTGGCTGAGAATATCACTAATAATCCAGTACCTACTGCACTAGACGCTGCATAGGCGAAGACAAATCCTGCCCCCTCGTGGGCAGTGTGTCAAGAAAGCTCAAAGGCAATAAAAAGGAAACAGATGTGGAATCCTAAGAAAAAGCCTAGAGGCACGTATGTGTGGTTACAATTTCCACCGCTGCAGGAGGCCACCGCTGGAAGGTGAATTTGGGTCTAGACTGAGATGGGGATGTGAATACCCAGATGGTGAAGGAAAGAGCATTGTGCGCAGCTGTGGCGGCCCCTAGGTGGGCTGTGCTGCAAGGTGAGACAGGGCCTGTGTAGTGGGAGCACAGAGCTGGGGAGTAGACGGAGATTTAAGGCCTGGGACGTAGGTCTGCCCTGATGTTCTTTAAAGAATTCACATACTTCGGGACAATGCATATGTGGGTGTCTCAGATTATCAATTACGGCACGATAGTGCATCATTCAATTCAATATTGAGTTAACCTCTCGCTCCCTTCATGAATTCAAATCTCTTTGTTCTTATTGTGTCCCTTCCAATCTGCTCTCCACACAGTCACAAGAGGGGCCTTTCTAAAGTGCGGGTCTTTCGGTTAGGGATGTGGCCCAGGTAGGTAGTTTGTGGACAGGCATGAAGCCTCGGCTTCCATTCCCAGCGTGGTATAGATTGGAAATGGCAGTACATGCCTGCATTCCCAGCACTCATTCAAGAGGTGGAGGCAGAGAGTCAGGAGTTCAAAATCATCCAGAATACCGTGAGTTTAAAACCAGTGTGAGCTATGTAAGACTGTCTTTTAAAAAGAAAAGGCTACAGTGGGGGTCCAGTGGCAGAAATCATGAGCTGTCACTGCCTGCAACCCACATGGATGTCGTAGCTCTTCCCACCCCCCAGTCACGGGTATGCAAGGCTCCTAGGTGCTCCATGGTGGAAAGGGCAGAGTACACACTGCTACCACCTAAAACCCTCCTCCCCTCCCCTCCCCCTTCCTCTCCCTCTTCCCCCTCCCCTCCCTCTTCCCCTCTCGTGCCCTCTCCCCTCCTCTCTCCCCCCTCCCTCTACTCAGTCTCTCTTCCTTCTCCCACTGGTTCATAATGTAACTGTCTCATCTTGGGAGATTCTCCCTCATAAAGTAGTCACGTCTATATATCACTTTCTATGCAGTGTCATGTATGGACCACATTTAAAACAACAGGTGATTTGTCTGTTTCGCCTGGGGTTCACCTGGTCACGTGAGCAGGGATGGCGGCGTTTGTGTGTTCTCTCTTGTATTCCAGCAGGAGCCCAGCATGCACTTACAGCAGGTCCCAGGATGGAGCACATCCCTGCATCTACTAGCCACCTAAAGTGTCTCCCACCACAAGGCTGGTCGTTAACTTCTGCTCTTTGGGGTGCGGTTTGCGGCTCCTCCACTGCCATGCGTCCTTCTGTTTCAGATGCTGATTCCAGTTGCTTGAAAACAAGTGGCATCAAGAGTCAAGACTGTCACAGTCGAACAAGTAAGAACAGAGACACCATTTTTCTTCCTTGAGGCAGTTCATCTTTGGAATTAAGTATCTGAGTGGGACCTGTCACTTCCACAGGGAGGTGGTGGAGAACCAATGATTGCTTCCATACATGGGATCAAAATCATCATTTTTGCTTAGACATCGGATTTTAAGAATTAAAGAAATGTTCTGACTGGGTTCTATTAGTGAAGGAAAGTTTTCTTTTTCCTGGTCCATTGTGTGACCTTCTCATTGAAGTACTCAGAGGAAGAGAATAGAGACAATGTGGGGAAATGGCCAGTCCATGAGCCTTCCCAGCACTGAGCAGGATCAAGGTCCACTTTCATTACGTGCAAGCAGTCACACCTGTGGCCGGATGCACGCAGTCACACCTGTGGCCGGATGCACGCAGTCACACCTGTGGCCAGATGCACGCAGTCACCCTGCATCTAGCCACTTACCATGCATTAAACCACTAAATCCTCAAGCCCACAGTATGACATGAGTAACTTATTACCCCTTTGATAATGGCAGTAACTAAAGAAACTGCATTTCCAGAGCCAGGAAGGGGCACATTCCAGACCAAACTCAGGCAGTCATAGCCCAGATCAGTCTTACCCATGCCCTAAAGGCACAAGACGAACACAAGCTCCTTGTGATAAATGAAACTGCCGAATGGCTGTGGATACCAGATCTTTTATTTTTTAACAAATAAATTTATTTATTTTTCTTCCTCGATGAAGTTTCCCCTCACGCCTCTCTTCTCAGTCTCTCCCCCTAGCCCCCCTCAGTTTCCACCCCCACAATCCACTCCTCCTCCATTTCTGTTTAGGAAAGAGTGGGTCTCCATCTTAATTTCCATTAGAAAGGAGTGAGCTCCTGAGGAGCCATACTGCTCGTTGGGTAATTCGCATGTATCTGCATGGAGAATTTGCTTATAGTTATTAAGAAACAGACATTTTCCAGCTTGTTAAGGCCCCAAGCAGCACACTCAAAATGAGCGTTGTCCAGCTCAGCAACAGGTTAATGAGAAGTGAAGTTGCACCCCTCTCTCTCTCTCTCTCTCTCTCTCTCTCTCTCTCTCTCTCTCTCTCTCTCTCTCTGTGTGTGTCTTTACCTTTGTTCTGTGTGTGTGTGTGTCTGTCTGTCTTTACCTTTGTTCTCTCTCTCTCTCTCCCTCCCTTCCACTCACTTTTCCTTTAACATCTCTCATAGTTTTAATTTTATGAGATTATAATTGCATCACTTTTCCCATCCCTTTCCTCCCTCCAAACTCTCCCATATATTCCTTCCCATTCTCCTTCAAATCCATAAATCCATGACCTCATTTTTCACTAATTGTTATTCTATAGACACACACAGACACAAACACACACACACACACACACACACATTCCCAAATATGACCTGTTCAGTCTGTATAATGTTACTAGTATATATGCTCCCAGGACTGACTATTTTGGCACTAGATGAACAACCAATTGGTGTGCTCTCCCCTGAGGAGGGCCCCCTCTCCCACTCCCAGCATTCCTCAGTTGCCTGTAGTTCTTTGTGGAGGACTGAGGCCTCATGGGCTTTTCCCTGTCCAGTCTGGCATGTTTATTTGTATCATATTTGTTCGGCTCGTGATTGGGCAGTCATGTTGGTGGGACTTTATGGGTATGGCTTTTGATGTTACTAGGAACACAGTCTCTCTTTAAAAATAAAATTAAAAAGCCAGTTTAAAAAGACAGGAAGCTGACTATTCTGGTTCCTTTCCAAAGGCCTCCAAAGCTCTCACCTGTGGGAATTTGTCAGAGATTTGCTTCTGTCTCCTGAAGAAAACTGTGGCATCCTGGAATGGGAAGACAGGGAACAGGGCATTTTCCGAGTGGTTAAATCAGAAGCCCTGGCCAAGATGTGGGGACAAAGGAAGAAAAATGACAGGATGACATATGAAAAGTTGAGCAGAGCCCTGAGGTAAGTGAATAGCATCAGAAACTATGAGCCTGCAGAGACGAGTTACGTAAAATAGCCAGCCGGAGAAAACTACACTGTTTTCACAGCTTTCCCCTGCCCCACACACTCCATATGACAGGGTCGTGAGCTAAAGCTCTTCTTAGTTTCGGGTGAGATTATAGCTTGTAAAGTGACCCACCATCCTTTTCAGTTTTGGCAACGTTCCTGGTGATGGGGGAGGGGGGCTGGATCACCCTGAACCCAAGCCATGGTGCACACAAACACAGGCTGAACTGACCGTGGTGAGGTTCGGCCTTCACGGTGTCTGGGAAGGGGTTAAGTGTAAGTTAATAACAGGGTGTGGAAATACCAGGGTAGATGAAGCCGTGTCACCTGAGAGGAGCGAGGGATGTTTATGCGCTGTTTTCTTGGGGTGCAAACCTTCCCCGGATTCCTCTCTTCTGCTTCTTTTCACAGATACTACTATAAAACGGGAATTTTGGAGCGGGTTGACCGGAGGTTAGTGTACAAGTTTGGAAAAAATGCACACGGGTGGCAGGAAGACAAACTATGATCTACGCCAACACCAAGCTCTTTTGATGGATCTCTGTTGTTTGAAACAATCAGATCAAAATAGACATTTGAAAGTCTTCTTCCTCCTCCTCCCCCTCCTCCTCTTCAAAGCCTACAAACACAATGATAAAATTTCTGCACATCTCAGCTTACTTTGGATTCAGTTGTTGTCTATTGGGGTGATGGCAGAAACCCTTAAGCGGTTGTCTTCACCCCAAGGGGGAAGAAGGGATGGTCTTCTGTGGCAACTTGATGAAACATTATTTCCCTAATGAAGTGTTTGGAGCCAGGGTAGTCAATGTTATGGGTGCTGCTTCAAAAAGGGGCCCCATTCCACCATTAAGGACACACGATGCTCCCATTCCAGAGGTTCTAAGTGGTCAACTGAGGCATCTCACTTGGGTCTAGTTTTTAGGGGAAGACGAGATGTAAGATGTGCTTACTTTAGATTTGAAATTATTAGTCATATTCCATAGAAGAATTTCTTAATAAAAAATGCTAAGCCACTAAGCTAGGACCTAATTGGATGTAGCCTAAACTAATAGGTTTCTTAACTCATCATATTTGACCACTTAGCCACAGTCACTCAATCCACAGTTGGGAATGGATACTTTTAAAGGGAGATAGATTTCCTGCCCACAACCTTCTGAACTTACATGCTTGTAATTAGTCACATTGGGAATTACTTCTGAGATCACTGCCCTCTTTCTCCTCTCTGGTGGCTAGCGTCATTTCTATAGAGACCTAGTCAACAGACATATATGTGCATTAATTTCCAAATCACTGCTGTTTCTGTGATTCAAACTGTCAACATGATCAAATCAGAATTCATTGATTCCCTCTGGGGCTACGACGTTAAACCCATATAGAGCAAAGAATGTCCAAACATTCTGTAACAGCCAAACACATTGCCAGTCCCTTTTCTTTTCTTACCTGATGAGTACTCAAACTCTACAACAGATTCTCTTGTGGAATATTACTTTATCTTGTTTTTCAAGACAGGGTTTCTCTGTGTAGCTTTGTAGACCAGGCCGGCCTCGAACTCACAGAAATCCACCTGCCCTCTGCCTCCTGAGTGCTGGGATTAAAGGTGAGCACCACCACCCGGCCAGATTCTTTTGACAAAAACAAATATAAGGAACTTACATCAGTAAACAATCATGGGTTAAAGTCTGCACTGACATCTCCATTGGCATGCAAGGTGTTAATGACCTGCAGTAAGGTGGACTGCCCCTGAACCTGACCGGCTCCAGAACTGGGAATGTCAAGTGATGAGGCACTGAACAGCAACACAGGCTGAAGACCTCTATGTTTAGAGTTTAACCTCAAAAGCAACTTGTTTTTTTTTTTAAATGTGAATTACTGTAAAATAATCTATTTTTGGATTCATGTGTTTTCCAGGTGGATATAGTTTATAAACAATGTGAATAAAATATTTAATATGTTCCAATGTCTGTGTACTTGTTCAACCCAGAAACCTTTCTAGAAGTTGGGAATGGATACTTTTAAAGTACCTTCAGATACTATAAAAGCTTCTACTACCAAATGGGGCTCACAGAATAGTGTGACAAAGACTTTTTCTTCAGATTTATGTTAATTAATGTGTATGAGTGTCTTGGCTGCATGTACGTATGTGTGCCAAGTGCCTAGAGAGGTCAGAAGGCACTGCATCCCTGGAACTAGAGTTAAGGAGGCTATGGATGGCTCTTGACTGGGGGGCCATCTCTCCAGCCCCCCAATAAATACAGCTTTGTTTGAAGTTCATGGTGCTTTGTTTTTGTTTTTTTTAACATTTTATTTTTATTATTTAAATTAGAAACAAACTTGCTTACATGTCAATCCCAGATCTCTCTCCCTCCCTCCTCCCCTGCCCCCCACCAGCCCCACCAACCCCCCACCCAATCTCCACTCTGCTACCCACAGAGGGTGAGGCCCTCCATGGGGTTATATCCAAAGTCTGTTATATCATCCAGGCAGAGCCTAGGCCCTGCCCCATGTGTCCAGGCTGAGAGAGCATCCGTCCATGTGGAATGTGCTCCCAAAGTCCATTCCTATGCCAGGGATAAATACTGATCTGCTACCTGAGGCCCTATAGATTGCCAAGGCCTCCTCACTAACACCCACATTCAGGGGCCTGGATCAGTCCCATGCTGGCCTCTCAGCCATCAGTCGGGTCTTGACCCCCTTTGTTCATCACTCCTCCCTCTCTGTCACTGGGTTCCAGGAATTCAGTTCAGTGTTTACCTATGGGTGTCTGCCTCTGCTTCCATCAGCCACTGGATAAAGGCTCTAGAGTAACATACAAGGTAGTCGTCAATCTCATTATCGTAGGAGTGCATTTAAGGTAGCCTCTCCACTATTGCTAAGATTGCCAGTTGGTGTCATCCTTGTAGATCTCTGGAAATCTCACTAGTGTCAACTCTCTCCTCAAACCTATAATGGTTCCCTCTATTATGGTATATCTCATCCTGCTCTCCTCTATTCTTCCCCCAACTCAACCTTCCTGCTCCCTCGTGTCCCCCTCTCCCCTCCTCTTCTCTCCCTGTCTTTCTCCCAGCTCCCTCTCCTCTCCCCCCATGCTCCCAATCTGCTCAGGAGATCCTGTCCTATTCCCCTTCTCTGAGGCCCCATGCATATCTCTCTTAGGATCCTCCCTGTTTCCCAGACTCTCTGGCAGTGGGATTATATGCTGGCATTCCCCTGCTCCATGTCTAAAATCCATATATGAGTGAGTACAAACCATGTATGCTTTTTTGTGACTGGGTTACCTCACTCAGGATGGTTTCTTCTAGTGCCATCTGTTTGCCTGCAAATTTCAAGATTCCATTGTTTTGTTTTTGTTTTGTTTTCACTCCATTGTGTAAATGTACCACATTTTCTCTATCCACTCTTCAGTTGAGGAGCACCTAGGTTCTTTCCAGGTTCTGGCTATTACAAATAATGCTGCTATGAATATAGTGGAACAGACGTCCTTGTGGTATGAATACACATCTTTTGGGTATATGCCTAAGAGTGGAATTGCTGGATCTTGCAGTAGACTGATTCCCATTTTTCTGAGGAATCTCCATACTGATTTCCATAGTGGCTGCATGAGTTGGCACTCCCCTTTCTCTACATCCTCTCCAGCATAAACTGTCATCGATGTTTTTGATTTTAGCCACAGACAGGAATAAGATGGTATCTCAGATTTGCTTTGATTTGCATTTCTCTGATGGCTAGGGATGTTGAGCACTTTCTTATGTGCCTCTCAGCCATTTGAGACTCCTATATTGAGAATTCTCTATTTAGTTCTGTACCCCACTTTTTGATTGGATCCTTTGGTGTTTTGGAGTCTTGCTTCTGGATTTCTTTGTAAATTTTGGAATTCAGCCCTCTGTCAGATGTGGGGTTAGTGAATAACTTTTCCCATTCTGTGAGCTGACATTTTGTCTTGTTGACTGTGTCTTTTGCCTTACAGAAGCTTCTCAGTTTCAGGAGGTCCCATTTGTTAATTGTCGATCTCAGTGTCTGTGCTACTGGTGTTATGTTCAGGAAGTGATCTCCTGTACCAATTCATTCGAGGGTACCTCCCACTTTCTCTCCTAAGAGGTTCAGTATGGCTGGATTTATGTTGAGGTCTTTGATCCATTTGGACTTAAGTTTTGTGCATGGCAATAGACATGGATCTATCTGCAGTCTTCTACATGCCAGCATCCAGTTATGCCAGCAGCATTTGTTGAAGACGCTTTCTTTTTTCCATTGTGTTTTTTTTTTTTTTTTTTGGTTTTACGAGACAGGGTTTCTCTGTATTGTTTTGGAGGCTGTCAGTCCAGCCTGGCCTCGAACTCACAGAGATCCACCTGCCTCTGCCTCCTGAGTGCTGGGATTAAAGGTGTGCGCCACCACTGCCCGGCCTTTTTTCCATTGTATAATTTTAGCTTCTTTGTCAAAAATCAAATGTTCGTAGGTGTGTGGGTTAATATCAGGGTTTTCAACTCAATTCCATTGGTCCACCTGTCTATTTTTGTGCTGTTGCCAAGCTGTTTTCAGGACTATGGCTCTATAATAGAGCTTGAAGTCAGGGATGGTGATGCCTCTGAAAGTTCCTTTATTGTACAGGGTTGTTTTGGCTATCCTGGGTCTTTTGTTTTTCCATATAAAGTTGAATATTATTCTTTCAGGGTCTGTGAAGAATTGTGCCAGTATTTTGATGGGGATTTCATTGAATCTGTAGATTGCTTTTGGCATGATTGCCATTTTTACTATGTTGATCCTACCAATCCAAGAGCATGGGAGAGCTTTCCGTTTTCTGGTATCTTCCTTAATTTCTTTCTTTAAAGATTCAAAGTTCTTGCTATACAGGTCTTTCACTTGTTTAGTTAGCATTACCCCAAGATATTTTATGTTGCTTGTGGCTATTGTAAAGGGTGATGTATCTCTGATTTCTTTCTCTGCCCATTTATCATCTGTATACAGTAAGGCTACTGATTTTTTAGTTAATCTTGTATCCTGCCATTTTGCTGAAGGTATTTATCAGCTGTAGGAGTTACCTGGTAGAGTTTTTCAGATCACTTATGTAAACTATCGTATCATCTGCAAATAGTGAAAGTTTGACTTCTTCCTTTCCAATTTATATACCCTTGATCTCCTTTTGTTGTCTTATTGCTCTAGCTAGAACTTCAAGTACAATATTGAAGAGACATGGAGAGAGTAGACAGCCTTGTCTTGTTTCTGATTTTAGAAGAATTGCATTGAGTTTCTCTCCATTTAGTTTGATGCTGGCTGTTGGTTTTACTATGTTTAGGTATGTTCCTGTTATCCCGGATCTCTCCGGGACCTTTATCATGAAGGAGTATTGGATTTTTTCAAAGGCTTTTTCAGCATCTAGTGAGATGATCATGTGTTTTTTCTTTTGCAGTTTGTTTATATGGTGGATTACATTGATAGATTTTTGTATGTTGAACCATCCCTGCATCCCTGGAATGAAGCCTACTTGATCATGGTAGATGATTTCTCAGATGTGTTCTTGGATTCAATTTGCCAGTATTTTATTGAGTATTTTTACATCAATATTCATGGGTGATATTGGTCTGTAGTTCTCTTTCTTAGCTGTGTCTTGGTGTTTGTTTTGTACATTGCTTCTTTTGAGGTTGTACTTTGTTTCTGGGAATTGTATTATTTAGAAATCAGACAAACAAACAAAAAACCTTAAAAGAAAAACATCTGACCAGGCATTGGTGGTGCACACCTTTAATCCCAGCACTCGGGAGGCAGAGGCAGGCGGATCTCTGTGAGTTCGAGACCAGCCTGGTCTACAGAGTGAGTTCCAGGACAGAGTCCAAAACAATACAGAGAAACCCTGTCTCGAAAAACCAAAAAAGAAAAAAGAAAAACATCTGAACGCTAGTTTCTCAGTCCTTTTCGACATTTATTTCCTGAAACCGAGCTGAAGCTAGGAAACACCTTGGGACAAGCACTTGGTCACCTCCTCCTGCTTCTTAAGCCCAGGGTGGTCAGCTACTATTCACGCTTGTTCTTGGTTTTGGCTTTTGGTTTTTCCAACATTTTAAATTTGAGGCCTATGCCCTGGAGGTAAGTAGTGCGTGAAAGGCTGAAACAAAGCCCAGAACCAAATGAAAGGAGCGATTGTCCAAGAAGCTTCTTGGCATACAACTCATGACAGAACCAGGATGGGAACGCGGGTGGGGCCTGAGGTGGGCAGAACAGGCCAAAGTGAGTACCACATGGCTAAGAGATGCTGCTCCATCAACACAAGCCAGCTCGGCAGACAACCCGGAGACCCAAATAACCCCTCTGCTGCTTGTGAAATTTTTCATTTTACAAAACAATCAAAGTAGACATGCTCTGTCAGTTCTCAGGCTGCCTGTGACAAACTGTCAGAGCTGGAGGCTTAAAACAAATGCAGTGTGTCCTGACAGTGCTGGGAAGTAGAAGCCAGAAGAAAAGGTACCTCCATAGTCACACTGAGTTGCAGGCTCTAGGAGCAGAGCCGCCATCATTCTTGCCATTCCTGGTGAGTACATGAGCACCCTGGCCAGAGGCTGCAGAGCCTGCTCCTCCTGCCCTTTGCTCTCTTCAGTATCAGCTGGGGTGCCCACCTGGATTATCAGGAAGTGCCCATCTTGAGATTCTTTATTGTCAAATAAGGTCACAATCAGTTTCCAGGATATGTTGGGGGGGGGTCCAACATTCAACCCACCACACTCCTCAAAGCATGAGTCCTGTGTAAACATATAGAATAAAGTTCATCCAAGGATGGATAACACAAGGGAGTTGTAGAATATTTGCTTAACTACACAAAGATGTGTTGCATTTGTTTAACTATGTAAAGATGTGTTTCATTTAATTATATAAAGATGCATTGGTCTAATTAAAAAGCTGAACAGCCAATAGCAAGGGAGGAGGTATAGTTAGGCCTTCCAAGCGGGGAGGGCAAGTTGGAGGAGGAATTTAGGATCGAAGAAGAAAGAAAAGGAGATGCCTGGGAGACTACAGGGACCAGACACACAGACATGGAAGAAGCAGGCAAGTAGGACATACAGGATAAAAGAAAGGTAAAAAACCCTGACCCAAAATATACACGAATAGAAACAGGTTAAAATTAAGTTAAAAGAGCTGGTGGGACAAGTATAATTAATAACAAGTCTCCACATCTTTATTTGGGAGCTGGTTGGTGGTCCAAAGAAAATTCCAACTATACAAGGGATCATATAAAGCACTGCTCTGAGAAAACAATGCTACAGAGAAGTAAGGAAAGGTCAACAGATTATGCTGAAGTGGGAGAATAAGTACTTTCACGAATAAAGACCTGTAGTAAGACTTCCCACCGAAAACCACCATACTAATATGCACTGCCTTAGATTCGTCTAAAATTCAAAGTATGACTTTTTAATTTTGTTCACATTAATATTTCACATCTTTAAAAGTTCAGAAAGGGGTTTTCACCCTTCCTTTGTCTCTCAGTTTAAAGTAGAATTTGGTCTTTTGTCCTTTGATCATTCCATAACTAAGAAGCCAAGAAACAGTCAAACAGCCTGTGGCAAAAAGGAGTTAAAACTCATTTCCAGACCAGTGCAGTAGTTTAGTGGGTAAAGTCACTTGCCACAAGCCTGAAAACCTGAGTTCAGTCGCTGGGTCCCACGTGGTGGGAAGAGGACTAACTCCTGAAAGCTAACCTCTGACTTCCACAATCACGTGCACCACAGCACGCACACACGAGTGCATGCATGAACACACACGTATGCATGCTCAATTGTACATGGATATATCCACACGCAAAAAAATGTAAAAACTAAGCAAGAAAAAAATAAAGTAACTGTAGCATTATGAAAGGGAAGGCAAGTATGAGGAAGGTGACAGTGAAAACATGGCCAGATTGAAGGATGGATGGATGGATGGATGGATGGATGGATGGATGGATGGATGGATGGATGGATGGGAGGTTCCAGTGGTGCAGGATGGGAGGGAGGTCTACAATTCTGGTCAGTGCATTTACTCACATCCACACAGGCAAGTTCCCACCGTGTAGCAAATGCTCCTCACCCCATGCCTTTTGGCTTAGCCAAAGAAATACCAGTGGACACAATGCAAAGGCTTGAAAAACACTCCTACAACTGAGATTGCATTCTTGACTTTGGCATCACTATGGGTCCCACTGAGAGCAGAGACATGTGACACAGCTGCACTAGCTAAACTGTCCCCAGCTGATCCCAGCCTGGATTGGACCAACTGGACTCTGGGATGACACATGATCATTGTTTGGAAGCACTGAACTATAGAGTGGCAAGGACAAGGCCAAAGTCAACCATGTGACTAGGCACTGATATCCACACTGCCTCTCACTTGCAGCCTCCTTAAGGAATTTAACTCTGTAACTCTAGGCACAACCTTAAGTGGAACGTAATTAGACAGGAAATAAAACCCAATGAGGGAGCCGGGCGGTGGTGGCGCACGCCTTTAATCCCAGCACTCAGGAGGCAGAGGCAGGCGGATCTCTGTGAGTTCGAGGCCGGGCTGGACCCACAGCCTCCAAAACAATACAAAGAAACCCTGTCTTGCAAAAACAAAAAACAAACAAACAAACAAACAACAAACAAACAAACAAAAAACCCAATGAGGAAAGTGAACCTTGTCAGTGTCTCTGTCTTTGAAAGTCACGAGAAGCTTCCAGAGAAAAACTGAAGATATTCAATGTTAGACGAAGAGAATACTCTAGAGCATGTGGTTGTTAACTGCCAACATATTTTAGGAAATGCACTATAATGAAGCAGAACAGTATGCCCTAAACTCCCTGACTCTATATTTATAACCCATATACAAATAGCGTCCTTCCCTGTTGGGGCATGGTATTCAGTTTTTAGTTCATCCTACAGACTTGACATACAGACAATTACAGTAAGAACTTGCTCTGAAGGGACTCAGCATCAGGTGCAAACAGGGGTACTTACTTTCTGTGTCTACAAATAGACCCGTTTCTGGTCTGCTCAGATAGAGGGGAAATTCAGGGTAAAGAAACTGGTGGTGATGAAAGAGACGGAGTTCCTATGTCTCGGCCAGGTGCCTGACTCCTCTAAAACTACAGGCAGTTGTGAACCACCCAGCGTGGGCACTGGGAACAAAACTCACGTCCTCTGCGAGAGCTGTGCATGATATCCTTACCTTTGAGCAAATGGGTAGAGATGTAAGAATTGGCCAAGTCAGCACATTGACTGTTTTCTCAGTGTGCAGAGTGATTCAAAGACTATTTCTCAGTGTGCCATGGCACATTCCACATTGTACAGAGAACTGAAAGTAATCAAACACCATTGTGGTAATTTGAATGTAATTGGCTCCCATAACCTCATAAGGAATGGCACATTAGGAGGTGTGGCTTTGCCAGAGTAGGTGTGGCCTTGTTGGAGGAAGTGTGCCACTGTGGGGCGGGCTTTGAGGTTTCCTATGCCCAGGATACTGCCCAGTGTCAACTTCCTGTTGCTTGCAAGATGTAACACTCTCAGCTCCAGCACCACATCTGCCTGCATGCTGCCATGCTCCCCATAGCGATAATAATGGACTGAACCCCTGAACTGTAAGCTGCCACCTCAATTAAATGTTTTCTTTAAGAGTTGCCATGGTCATGGTGTCTCTTCACAGAAATAAAACCCCAAAGACACATGTAGGTCATTTTATTGTAAAAATGTAAGCAAGTACAAATCAACCTACGTGAAATCACTGTGTATTAGCATAAACATAATTTCAAGTGAAAAATAAGAATCTGATCAGTAATAAACATTAAGTTTCAACAGTGCTAAAGTTATTTATGGAAGACACGGATTTATTAAGTATGGTTTTGCTTATAAGGACCTTAGGGAAATCTATCTTTATCTTCTTCATTTGTGTGGTTTGTGTGTGTGTGTGTGTGTGTGTGTGTGTGTGTGTGTGTGTGTGTGTGTGAGATATATATATCAGGCCATGAGGTAACATGAGAAAACATCACTTTCACCAAGATTTTTATCTTATCTAATCAGATCATGTTTCTGGCTAGAAAACCTTTCTTGTCATCATTTTAAATGTAGTATTTTAAATGAATAATCTGAACAGAAGTCTATATAGATCCAAGTTTCTGTTAAATGATTGCTAAGCCCTAATCTTTAATTTCCCCCTTGGGAAACAGCATCAAAAGCATTGCTATTACTCTGGAAGCCCGATTATCACTTTAAAGACATCTGCGTGAGCTTGTGCTTCAGAAGGAGAGCAGGTCCAGCGGCGACTACAGGTGCACCCTGTGCTCTGCCTCAGGAGAGATCTCGGTGGAGGGCAAGGTCGAGCACCTGGGCCTCACAGGTTAGCTTTTTCCTTTGCAGCCAAGTGAGAGCCCCCCTGCGTATAGGTATGAATTGCATTCTGTGTCAAAGGAAGAGAAGACCAGCATGTTAGCTAACCCACAGGCACCGGGGGATCTCTCTCGTAACAGCCCAGAAATTCACTCCCTGTGAACCATTTCATATTGTGTGGAACTAAAGTGAAGCATATGCACTGTGCAGGTCAGTTCCTTACAACTCTAAGAAAATGCCTAGTAGCTATTGCACTGACAAGATAAGGCCAGTGGCAACCAAACTGTACCCGATCCAGCCCAGCACGCACTCCTCTGCCAGTCACACCACCCTGGCTCACCTTAGGCTTCTCGGCATTGTATTTGTCCAGATGAGCCTGGACGCGGGCCCCATAGTCAGGGTGGACGTCAGTAAAATTCTTGACCTGGAGCCAAAGGAAGACACATTTAAGCATCTCCTCGCCCACCCACTGACCCCCCAATGTCTATCCCACCGTGCTTACTCAGCAAGTGAGGAAGGACATTTCTACAGTAAGTTACGTCATACGGCACATAATTATACAGGTTCTGGAGGAAGACTTGTGGGGGGCAGCGTAAGTTCTTACATCTATGGGCTGAGCTGCCATAGTGAAGTCACTTCCCCTACTGAACCTCAGTGTTCCCCTCTCTAGATGAGCAAGGCAATTGCACTTATGTGGAATCACAGAAACACATTGGGTCTTCATGTTCCTAGCACATGGATCCTAAAGCCCTTGGAACTGACTGTCTTCAGTATGGCACTGAGGAGGTTCGTAGAGAGCCTGACCGGCTTCAGGACGCAGCTGGTACCAGACACAGCAAACATAGGATTTGAAGGCTGAGATTTCCGATTCCACCCCAGAGCATCCAGGGAGGGCAGAGGGCCTGCTGATGGTGTCCAATCACCTAATAGCTGATGAGCTCATCAGTCAAGCCTACGTAAGGAGAGCGCCATGAAAGCCCTTGTGTGACAGGGCTGGCAGCGCCTCTGGTGGGTGAGTACAGGCGGTGATGCAGCCGAGAGGCAGGGAAACTGGCAGCCCTTCCCACACACCTAGCTTATGTATCGCTTCCATTAACCAGTGCTGAGCTATCCTTTATGACGGACACGTAATCCTGGGTAAGGTGCTTTTCTGAATTCTGTGAGCCATTCTAGCCAATTACCAACTTTGACAGATGATCCAGGGGAACCCTGAGACAGTAGTCAGAACTCTTTTTTAAAGATTGCTATCTACACAGTGTTCTGCCTGCATGTAAGCCTGTCTGCCAGAAGAGGGCACCAGATCTCATTATAGATGGCTGTGAGCCACCATGGGATTGCTGGGACTTGAACTCAGGACCCCTGGAAGAGCAGCCAGTGCTCTTAACCTCTGAGCCATCTCTCCAGCCCCAGTAGTCAGAACTTATGGGTGTGTCAGGTATCTCATGGGCATCTAAAGTGGAAGGGGTTGACCCCACAATCTGTGGTTATGACACTAATTCCAGGGACTCCTGTCACAACTGAATTGAATTATAGGACAGCTAAACACCACCAGAGAATTCAAGAACTGCTTATTGGTGAGGGAGAAAGCATACGACCAACCTCAGAGGCTACTGCAGGGAAAACACACCCAAATGACCTGTGCCAGCTGCCTGAAAACCACTGACCTCACACAAGGAACAGACTGGGCACTGCCTCAATTCAGAACTATGCACAACCCTGGCATCTTCCGGGCAACTCTGTGGAGGAATACCCAAGCAGCAGCTGAGTCCCAGCAAACAGTGAAAGGAGGCAGAGCACCAGGAACAAACAGAAAGCCTTAGCAATTCAGTGTGTGTGCCGGGAGACTGCCGAGGATGCGAGCTCCACCACTGACAGGCTACACTACCTATTTCCATCAGGAACAAGAGATAAAAGCTGCCCTGCCTATCCCCCAGAGCAACTGCCAGGTTCTTTGTGTGTTCTTGACCTAGGTTCTAGAACATTCCTAATAGTGGTCCTGTGATCAGAGAAGCAGCATCTAACATGAAGAAACAGAAGGGCTACTAAGTTCACAATGTATCCCTGAAACAAAGCAAAAAACTAGAAGCCAGAGAGAGGGCTTCTGGTAGCTCAATGAGCAGCCAGCAGACACATCCCAGCACCCTGACTCAGCCTGCTTTGGGGGAACAGCTCAGTGCTCGCCCTAGAGAAGAGGCAAGCTTCTACTCTGTCTGATGGAGAGACACAGGCTCGTGACACTCAGCCTTGACACAGGCTTCAAACCACACAACTGGCAGTAATACTTCTCATCCTCTGAAAAGGGAGGCTAAGGCAAAGCCATATCTGGCCATCTGTCATGCTCTATTAACCCAGAAAGGACTGCAGCTGAATTAAACAGCAACACAAGAATTCACTTTAAACTCAACCAAATTTCTACACGCTGGAAAAAACAGGTAAGGATGTGAGTATTACCAGACAAGATGAAACATCAAGACAAGATAATTTTAGTTTGAATGGGAATTGCCGCACTGTTTAAAAAGTTATCTTAGCTCAGGTAAAAACTGGAAATTGCTTTTTCTTGTATAAAGGTCTCCCACAAGGCTGCACTATCTCCATGAGTCAGCAGGTGTCACCCTTAAGCTATCACAGACAGACTCACTGCTTTCTTCTGAATGAAGAGCTGAGCATCTTTCAGGTGGCTGGCAATGTTCTCACACAGGCGTTTCCTCTCCTCCTCGTTCAACACCTTCGTATAGAATGTCCGCACCTGCTCGAGCAACAGCAAAAAACAGAACAACCATTTTACCCAAGAATCTACATCTGAAATACACAATTAAAAAAATTCACTGAAAAAATCATAACTAAAACCGCTATCTGTGTTTAATTCATTTCTGTTTTTGCATTCGTTTGTTGACAGTGGCTCATAATCAGTTTTCTTCTCTGTGTCTCTGTGCAGGGTGTGTGTGTGTGTGTGTCTGTGTGTGTCTGTGTGTGTGTGTGTGTGTGTGTGTGTGTGTTCATGTTTAGAGCCCACATACTTCCCAGAGATATGCTCGGTCATGGGTGGATAGTATCTGCACAGTGGTGCTCTTTCCTCAGCGTAATGCTGAGACCAGCTTTAACTTTCTGCAACCCATGAAACTGTACTTCTCTAACTCATCGTAGACATAACACCTTCACAAGGAGGAAAACAAGTCAAGAATCCCACCAGATAAGTACTCCAGTATACTTTCAGTTGCTACTGTGATTCACTTTAATTATTGGAACTTAAAGATAATGTGTTTAACTGAGCTATAATACCTTTTAGAACATTGAATATAGTTTGTCTATGGTGGATGGGAGGTAGGCAGTTAGAGGAAGAGAGGGAGGGAGAGAGGGAGGGAGGGAAGCCATTGATGCCACCATAATCTATCACCCTGAACCAAATGGGATTTTTTTGCATTTATTTATTGTGCACAAGCTTGCACACACACGCATGCTATGGCACATGTGTAGATGTTAGAGGACAACTTGTGGGCATCTGTTCTTTCTTACATGTGGAATGTAGAAATCAAACTCTGTTTGTCAAGCTTGGCTGCAAGCACCTTTACCCACTGAAGCAATCTCACTACCCCAAAGGGAATTTCTGGAAGCATTTCCAGTGGTTCACTACAGCCAGCTCTTCATGGGAGCTCACTGTCAATTTTTCAAGAATTCTGTAAACAAATTATCTACACACACCCACACCCACCCACACACACACACAACTGTTGTGGAATATTATATTAAGATGTGTTACATTGTTTATGCTGTGGAACATTTGTTTAATGATGCAAAGATGTGTTGCATTCCTTTATGTTGCATTTGCTTAACTCTGTGAAGCTGTGTTACTTTGTCTGTCTAAAACACCTGATTGGTCTAGTAAAGAGCTGAACAGCCAATGGCTAGGCAGGAGAAAGGATAGGTGGGGCTGGCAGGCAGAGAGAATAAATAGGAGAAGGAGCAAGAGAAAAAAAAAGAAGGGGCCAGTCACACTGCCAGACGCAGAATAAGAAGGAAAGAAAAGATATACAGAAATGGAGAAAGGTAGTTGGGGTAAGTTAAGAAAAGCTGGCAAGAAACAAGCCAAGCTGAGGCCAGGCATTTATAAGAAATAAGAAGCCTCTGTGTGATTAATCCCCCCCCAAGCAAAAAAGCAAAGACAACAAACAGCAAGACCACTTTTTTCTGCAACTTTTCTGAGCTTTTGGTCGTTAAATCCTTGCTTTGTTAGTTCTCCAAAGCTTTTCTTTTCTTTCTTTTTTTTGGGGGGGGGATTTATTTCATTTCATGTGTATGAATGTTTTGCCAGCATGTTTTGTAGTATGTACCACCTGTTGGCCTGGTGTCCAGGGAGGTCACACAAGGGTGTCACACTCCCTGGAACTGGAGTTGTGGATATTTGTGAGCCACATGAGGATGCTGGGAATTGAACCCTGGAACTATACAAGAGCAGCAAGTGCTCTTAACCACTGAGCCATCTCTCCAGGCCCTCTCCAAAGTTTTTAATCTGTCTTTCCAATGTTCTTCATGAGAGGACATGTCTGATATGAATCCATAATACCAGTATCATGGCTGGTTAAAAATATGAATCCTACATAGTGATAGAACCTCTCACTAACATAAGAAGGGTCCTAAGAAAGCTCATATAGCAAACCTTAATATGAAATGGCAGTCTCGTTAGCTAACCAGTTTCTATGGGATTTGTATGCCTTGCTTTCTGTCTCGACCTAACGCAAGCAAACTCCTTGAGTGGCTGAGCCTACATTGCAATACACTTGATTTCACCATATCTCTGAAAATAATACATTTACTATAAAAGACTTTACAAGCTATTTTAGGCTAACCTATATATGTTTTATATTCCACACACACACACACACATACACACACATTTTATATAAAGACCCATTTATGTATTTATAAATATTTCACTTGGAATCTACATTTTCAAAGTGAGAAAATAAACACAGTTCTAATTGATTTAAATATTAATTGACAGAGCACTCTCATAGAGGAGCAACTGTGGAGCAACTATACTCTCATTCTTTGGCTGGGTGTGGCGGGAGCTGCACAGGCTACATCCTAGCCCACACACAGGCTCCCACAGCTGTCACCAGAAAAGTCCTCAGGGAAGCCACACGTGACTGGAGACAGGGTGAGCACCTGACTCCGGGCAGTTAGCAGCAGGCCGATCCAAGGCCAAGGATACAACCTGGTGAAAGGCTCAGCCAAGACCATCTGAGTAAAGGTGCTCAAGAAGAGAAAAGGTGAAAAGAAAAACGGCCATAAAAGAGAGTCACCCATGGGCATGACCAAGCAGCAGAAGTTGAGAGGCGGGGGGGGGGGGGCACGGTGGGAACCCGAAGTGGAAAGCAGAAGTAAACATCTGGAGAATCGCTGAGCCACATGCCCGGGAGCCCTGAGTGGAACTTCATATACTCTTGTGGCCAGTTTTGTTCTGTGTTTTGTAGTACCAGGATTCAAACTCAAGGCCCTGCCCATCAAGGCGAGGCAAGCACTGTACCGCTCTACCAGCCTTTGACGGCTGCCTTGGATCTCCAGATCTAATGCCTGGAAGCTGGGCTGTTCTGTCAGGATGCTTATGTCTTACTTGCCCATTTCTTAGATGCTCAGGAGATCGTTTTTCCTTCTATATCCCTTCAATAAAGGCTAGAGGACCTGAGAATGAGCCCCCAAATCCGGAATGGAAAGAACAGTATGACACAACTCTTTGGCTGCAGACAATAAAGAGCCCGGCTCGCTGTTAGACCTAAGTCTTCTCTGGCTTCAATTCAAGATGCATAAGCACCTTGAGAAGTGGACAGTAAATAAATGTGATGGCAGATGATTTAGGCCAGCACTTGAGAGACAGAAGTAGCTATCTATGAGTGCAAGGCTGGCCTGGTCTTATAGCGCAAGTTCTCGGCCAACAGCTATATAATGAGACTGATAGTGCTATATAATGAGGCACTGATAAGAAAACCAGCCAAGTGCCCAGCAGGAAGCCATTACCTGAGTGACGTTGTCGTCATTAGCACTGTTGAAGCGTTGCACGTCCGTGGAGCAATGGGACATGTGCTCCAGGGCTGAGCGCTGTTGCTCCGGTGCGCTGAAGCTGTTGGGGTAGTAGTTTGGAGCACCACCTTTAAAGAGAAGCAGAGACCCACTCAAGGGAATGGCAGATGTCTCCAAGTCATCAGTGTGGGAAGGGGCGGGTGCCAGGGGTAACCAAATACACATACATTAAGCGCAGATGTATACACACCACATGCCGGGAAATGGTCCCTCTCTAGCTTCAGGCTCAGGGGACGCTGCCCTCTCTAAATGTTTGTGTGGCCTGCATTCTAAATCTGAATAAAGAGATCTCAAAGGCTGTGCAAACACTTCAAAGGTTCTTGACTTATCTGCACCAGGTAGAATCTTCAGAGATCTGACGTGGTTGCCTCTGAGATCGGTTCAGAGACCCCAGATCTGACAGTTTCATCCGGATGTAGGTTCAACCCAAACACTGACTCTCGGTTGTGCAGGGAGACCTAATTCTATCCCTGTTCCCTCATCTGCAGTCCAAATCTGGAGCTCTGGGATGCTCACGGCTGCTCACCCGGGGGCTATTGGGGGCTGGGATTAGAACCTGCACTTCTGTCTCTGTCGCCACGAGAAAATTTGATGAAGCTCCTCCTCACATGGATTTTAGAAGCTTTTTCCTTAGCAGGCTCTAACCCTCTCCTGGACTCTACTTATATATTTCTCCCTAAAGAAACATTTTTAAGAAGGGAGGGTGCTTTTTATCTGTATTTGTAATATGTTAGCATTCATTTATCTGGATTTACTGAACAAATATTGACAGATATAATTACACATCCTTTATGATTCTGAAATAAATGATAAAGTGTTTCTTTTTTCATTTTGTCATTTTTTATTAATTTTTATTTACTGTGTGTGGGCTTGTACCCCAAAACATGTGTAGAGATCAGAGGACAACTTGGGGGACTCAACTCTCTGCCTCCACCAGGTGGGTCCCAAGGGCTGAACTCAAGGCTGGAGCTTGCAGTAGATGCCCTTACCCTCTGAGTTATCTCAATGGCCCCTTGTCTTGGTATATTTACTTTCCAAACTGCACCCTCCTTTGGCTGATATCAGTAGGAGACTGCCTATCAGAGCCTGTACTGCCTGTACAGGAACACTGCCTAGGAACATAAGTGGCTTACGGGAAGCCGCCTACAACTGGAATGCTTCATGGCTCTCCGCCAGGACAGATCACCCACTATGGATAATTAGGAGATGCTTCCTAGCACAGTGATCAAGACACTGAGGACATGTGGAGTTGTGGGGGAGGGCAGGACATGGAGGGTATCAGTTATTCACTTCAGAAAATAGCCCTGGGCCACTGTGTCGGTATGAGAAGCAGAGGATTCAACAGCCAAACACCCAACACTTCTTCACTAAGAGCTCACCCTTTAAGAAGTTTTAAATTCTACTTCCAAATACATTCTGACCTTTCCTCAAAAGTGGGATTGTCTTGGAGGAATTGGCAACTGGGAACAATTAGGTTCCTTCATGGGACTTTCCAGAACAGGGCCCAACCAGGCACTAAAATCAGGCCGAGGACTTCAACATCACCCCCAAAGCAGCTTTCTAGAAAGTATGCCAACGGGATGCAAACATGAAACAATTAGCTACAAATGAATCGCAAGATAAGCAGATGTCTGTGTCATGCACGCACGCAGCTGCAATAACAAAAGGACCACAAAAGAAAGGGGAAAAACCAAGCCTGGGAGAATGGGAAGGCAGAACACAGACCTAGGGAATATCTGTTACTTCAGGCCCCTGCCTCTGGAGTCCTAAGAGAGCAGAAATACTATACCCACTCAGTGGAGCTTGGCAGAAAAGGGACAAACTCAGTAAATACCAAAGAGTAATGACAGGGGGAGGGGGTGGGTGGCAAGCACAAAATGGCATTTACAAAAAAACCAAATGTGTAAAAATAGTCACTGAAAACAATGGCAAGAAAACATAAAAATGCAGTCATCTTGGCATCTGGGTGTTAGAACTCTTAAGTCGATTTTTGACATCTATTTTCCAAGTCCCCTTTAAGGTGCATATATTCCTTTTATTGGAGGTGTGCTTTATAATATTCAATACCTTTAATTTTCATACAGATAGCTATGGCTACAAAAAAATCACTGGTCAAACTTCTGCAGAGATCTATTCCTCAGGCTGTGACTGAAACACGGGCCCCCAGCAGGAAAATTGAAAACTAAGATACTTATTAAACTGGAATACTAAAAGAAAGCACATCAACGAAGCTCTGCTTGGCTAATCAGAATCAATACCAGAGGCTGTCTGGGCAAGAGCATCAAAAAAGGTCACTAAAACGGGAAAAGCCAGGCACTCAACAAGTGAACCCTAAAATACCCAAACGCAGGAGCGTGTCAAGATGATTTAGGTCAGTTCCACTTGGGAGAATTACATGGATAAGGTCCCTTGATTGCCTGTCTCCCTTCCCATCCAAATCCTAGGCAGACCTGGTCCTCCCACTTCTCCAGAACTGCAGGAAGAAGCATGAATTTTGTGCCTTCGCATTCCCAAGGTCCCAGTCCCGGTAACAGTGACTTAGGGAACTGTGCATTTTGTAACCTAGGTTGGATACACCCCACTACAGCCCTGTGTAGGCTCCTCTTCCCAGCCTTCCACTGTGGGGTGGACACCAAGGGCAAGCTGAGGAGGGACATCTCAAGGATGTACATAAAACAGACAGAAGTCAGAAGAGACCGCAGGCAGCACAGAACTTCCCACGGAGCATCAGACCTGGGTGGCTGGCAGCACCTGCAGAGCGCCTTACAAAGCAGGTCTCACACGGGCTAGTGTGAGAACCGCTGGCCTGGCATCCAAGCCCACCCACTCCCCATGCTCTCTGCCTTTACAAGGAGTTGAATATATCAGGCCTACCCTGATTGTCGTGCATGCACATGGGGCCATCCCGCTGGTAGTTGGCCACTCGAGCACGATAGGGGCAGTTCACAGGTATCTGGAGATAGTTGGGCCCCAGGCGGTGGCGGTGAGTGTCCGGATATGCAAAAAGGCGTCCCTACGGTAATGCACACAGCAGACATTAGGAGCAGTTGCTTATGAAATAGGAAATGCACTACAAACATCATTCTAAAAATCCAAGTAAATGATTACCGCATAACCCTGCCTAGCTCTGCTCGGCAGAACCAAGTCTCTTCCCACTAGAAAATGTGTTCTTCCTAAAGAAACCACCCCTAATGCCCCATGCCATCTGGCCAACTACTAACTTCACATCTGTCCTGGACAATGATGCCTACCCCCTCCGCAGGATGAGACAGTGCCTCCTTACCAGACATTCCACCTTACCAGATTTCCAAATTAATTCTCCATCTCTTCAGCCCTCTACTCCAAGGGAAGAACTGAACCTTTGCTAATAAGCACAGCACCATCTTAGAAAGTGTTCAAAGAGGCACTTCCCATGCTGCATGGCGGATTATACATACTCTGTATTCTGAGACTCAGAAACAAGGAGAGAAAGCGGTGGTTGGAACTACTGGCTCTCCACAACCACGGGTAACCACTCTGAGGTAGCCTAAATGTGCAAATCACACCTTTTATTTCCCAAGGCAGGATGGCAAGCCTCTTGACATCAGCAAAAAGCTTTAGGATTTACTCTGTACTGATTTTAACATCCAGTCAGTGAACTAATCTCCTGTGGCAATTCTTCTACAGCTTCGAACGCTACCTGACTCTCTACACAGCATTCTTCTGCACCTAACTACATAAGGCAAAACAAAAACCCAGGTTTAAAAAGATGGAAAGGAGACCATGAGATGGGACGAGGAGACGTTAACGGAGAAGGAAAAGCAGAGGGGATGATAGAATAAATGTGACATAGAAGCCGAAGGGATCTGGGGGAGGAGGCAGTATGGGGAAGGAGGGAGGGCAGAGGAGTGAGATGGGGGAGGGCAGAGGGAAAGGGGGATAATAAAGACAAAGTATAATAATTATGTATGTATCTCAATAAAAACTCATTAATGTGTATGCTAACTTAAAATCGATTTAAAATTTTAAAGTTGAACTGCATATTTAAATGAGCATTAAAAATGGAAACCAACCACCAAGATACAGAAGGCAAATACAGAGTTATGCTGTACCAGATCACTCACATCTCCATGCTTAATATGGTCCCACTGATTCTGCCAACATGATGGCTAAATAAGCCATAATCACTCCACATCACCCAGGTAACACATAGATGGCTGGCCATGCAGGTGGCACTAGACCCCAGCCACGGAAAGAAGCTGGCTGCCTCCACTGGCTCCAGAAGCTGTGCCCCGACTCCATCAACAGGCTAGAAGATAGAATGGAGTCAAGGGTAGCTCCTGCACGGAGCCTCTAGCACAACACTCTGGCTAGATGCCCTCAGGTTTAGCTGGCAACCCCAACATCATCTATGAGTGGAGACACTGTGCAGGTTGAGACATGGGCACAGGGAGCACACACAGAGACAATGACCACTTGCAAGTCCTCTACACCGTTGCTCTACCTCACCAAACAGTCGTTCCCCATCCTAGCAACCAGCGCAACTTCTCTCCAGATCCGAGCTGCAAAGGACCCAGTACGGGAGCAAAGAAAGGCCGCACAGCTGCACAGCCAGACACTGGCACAGCGTCTCTGCTCCCTGCATTGCGCTAGCCTGGCGGCTTCATGATGCTCTCGCTTACCACTTTGGATTACATTTTAAGATTTATTAACATGGCCTTGTTTAAACCTAAACGAAGACACTGCCCATCATCACAGCAAGGGCCACTGCCCAGCTTCAGCGCTTGTTCTCTTCAGGGGTAACCTCAGCCCTCTTAACTCGCTCTCTACCCCGATGTTCCCATAAAAGAATCTTCCCAAGGGCTTCTCAGATTGCAGTCCTTACCACCCTGGTCACCAAGTGCGCCTCCTCACGCAGTTGGGTTGGGGATGCCCCACAGAATGAGAATGTGTGGCTGAATAGCGCCACTGTGCCCGGCCTGCACTTGTTTTCTTTTGTAGCACAGAATACACACTTGCTGTGGGTGCTTCACCCTGGGCCTAGGACTCCATTCCACTCTTCAGTGTTCTCTTAGGTGTGTGACTAAGCTGCTATCTGACTGCAGGTGTCGCTGTGGTCCCAAAGAACACTGGTGAGCTGGCCTCCTGTGAAGACTAGTGTCATCTCTCACTTTTCAGTCTATTTTCTCAGTACCAGGGTTATGCAGTCTGGGGTCTGTCCATGATGATTTCCTGCCCTGTGCACCCTGCCAGCCCCTAATCACAAACTTCAGCTCCCCGCCCCCCCCCAGCAGGTCCACACTTCTCTACTCTGCAGATATGCCTGCTTACAGCTGTGCTCTATTCCAGTCCCCTTTCTGTCCCTAAGGCCAGCTCCTTCCTTCACTATTCGTCACTGAGAAGCGTTGTTCTACTTCTCAAAACTGAATGATCCGCCTGTCTTCCCAGAATGGACAGTCGTCCAAGTGTCCAACACTGAAAGGCTCCTCTGACACAGACTTGCGAACCTGCGCACACCCATTTCTTCTCATCCAGGACACAGAGGCCACACAGCACACATCTGCCTATCCTCGCGCCCTCTACTGTTGCATGTCATTTGCTGGAAATCTGGATCCCGCTCAGCCTTACAACTCCATCTCCAACGCCATCCTATTCCTAGCTCTGTTACAGACCCCATCTCACACATTTCAACCTCAGCTCCATCACCACACACTGCTTATACTACAGTTGTCCAGCCTCCCATAGTACCACACCCAGCAGGGCGGTGCTCAGCCTGTGTAATGAAAACAAGTACCAGATGCCCCCAGTGCCACTGCAAAGGTAACCCACAGACATGCGGAGAACCTCAGCTGGCTCGCCAAGGAACCTGACGCCTGCCTAAATCAGAACTTACGTCAGCAGCCACCTTTTACCTCTGTGATCTGATCTAAGGCCTAATCTTTAACTTCTGTTTTGTGTCCAGAGTCTAAAATCACAAAATATTTCCTTGCACAGCAATTATTAAGCCAATTATTTTCCTACGGATTCCTGGTCCAAAGTAGAATTTTCACTCTTTGAACTCTTGGCAGAGCACCCTAGAAAGTGGTTTAAAGGGCACTGCATGTCTGGTGAGATCACATGATTAAACTAATCCACTGCCATTAACCACAAAATCAGGTTAATAAAAATCATCTATGGAGCTATTTTCACAGATAGGAAATAGGAAGTATCACCTTGCAATAGAAAATGGATAAAATGATGCTGTCAGTGATTCTAATAATTTATTATGCCTTATAGGCTGGCTAAGCATGTAACTGTTTTTCTAAACTATGGAGACATTTCTATTGCGTCTTTTTCCAAGATCAAGTGTTCACATCTTCAAATATTAGCTAGATACTTTACCATGGACATGGTTTAACTAAAGAATGACCACTTAGGATATTTCATTCCAGTGATCTCACAGGAGTCAGGCACCTCGATTAAACTCAAATGGAAGTTCTAGAAATTCCTTATATAAAGATCATGTCAAGTTATACACTGTGTGCACACAAACAGACACCCGCCTCAGAACATCTCAACTCACTGGCTTACCTGAAGCATTTTGTCAGGGCTGGGCTCAATGCCAGGGGGCATGTTGCTTGGGTCAAAAGCAATCTGCTCAACTTCAGCAAAGTAATTAACTGGGTTTCTGTTTAAGACCAGTTTGCCAACTGGTATAAGAGGGTACTCCTGGTGAGGCCAAATCTGAAAACAATGCCATATTCATAATTACCAAATAGCCAACTGGTGGATACTAAAGGCATCCATGAAAACACCCACTTTCAAATATAATCAAGCCAGTGAAAATAATTAACCCAAGAGACGCCTGATAAGAATTTCAGGTGACTGCATTATCATATTATAATAGTAAGTGGTAAATATTGACAACTGTGCAGAACCAGAGTATATTAGCTTTTCGAAACTTGTCCCCTGCTAATAACACAGGAAGCCTACAAAGTGACTCCAGTGAACTTCCCACAAGGGAGTGAAGTGAGGCACTGGCAGGCACCCACTCACAGGCGTGAGGACCCTGCAGAGCTACCACCTCAAGTCCAACCCACCCCGTTACTGTGAATGTTTAGCTGTGGTTTATTATTATTATTACTACTATTATTATATTAACCATGAACAACATAAAATAATATTACATTATTATAAGCAGGAAGACACTTACAAAAACGATGTAGTTTCTGCTGACTTACCTTGGTAAGATCAAATGGATTAAATGGGAAAGTTTCTGCCTCCTTGAAAGTCATGACCTGGATGTAAAAAGTCCAGGATGGATAGTTGCCTTGGGCAATGGCATTGAAAAGATCGCGGACGCCGTAATCTGGATCTTCCTGGGTAAGTCTGGCCGCCTCTGCAACAGGCAAGTTTTTGATGCCCTGGTCGGTCTGCAGAGTGAAAGAAGAAAGCTCACACCAAGTTCAGGGAAGAGGTGACCAAAACGTAACCAGACGACACTTCCGTTACATCATGCTTCTATTGTTTCGATCTGACTGTTCTCACTCATCGCAATTCTTTCCAATGTCGAAGGGACTTCTACGCTTTTCACATTTAAAACCATTCCTCCTCTCTTTCCCTTTATGTATTCTATATCATTTGCATTCCTATGCTTATGTTACTTTTTAATCAGAAAAAATTCTTGATAACAAAAACTCTCGTCAGTGAAAATAAACAAGAGATTATAAAAATTAAAGGGCTTTTAAAAATGGTTTTTAAGTTTAATTTATTTTTAAATTATGCATTAAAACACCAAAATTATGCATAATAATGGAGAATTTTTGTCATTTACTTAAAGCAAAACACTCAAATCCCTTCTTGTGGGTTTTTGAGAGCTGAAGTCACTCCCCTGTGCAACTAGACCTTGGTCCCCCCCAGCAGTGACCCAGTACCATCATCCAGACTAGACTTTCTCATCCCTCCAGCCCCTACTCTCCCTGCCTCTGATGACCACCAATCGGATTCCATCCCCTTCTCAAAGTCCACCTTTGACACAGAGCATGCCGCATCTGTCTTTCTACGCCTGGCTCATTTCACTAAGCGCAGTGGTCTACAGTTCCACTCAAAGTCACAATGACAGGGTCTCTCTGTGATGTGTGTGTGTGTGAGGGAGAGAGAGACAGACAGACAGACAGACAGACAGATGGACAGACAGACAGACAGAGAGCAGCCGTCCACTGTATCACATCTTCTTAACCGACTCACCATCTGATGGACACTGCTTCAGAAAAAGCATGAGAGTTACAGATGCCTCTTGGACATGCTGTATTAGTGTTTGCCTTAGATATACACCACGGCACTCTGGAAATAACCTAATTCCCCACAATCACTGAGTCTTGCTCTAAGTGACCTTACACATCTCCCTTTGGCAATTATAAATCCAGGGACCAACTGTTTTCTTAATGTTGAGCCAAGATATAAAGTAAACAGTTTTCCCATTTAATACTCCTAAATAGCTTATTAAAATAAGTATTAAAACAGGACAGAGGAAAGTGGGCCTTTGAGATGCTGTTAAAAGGGGAAGATGTGTTGAGCCTGGTGGTGTGGGCCTGAAAGCCCAGTTACTCAGGAGGCTGAGGTAGGAGGCTTGCAAGTTCAAGGCTCAGCTGAGTTATCAAATAATTTCAAGGCTAACCTGGTCAACTTAATGAGATCTGTTGCAAAATACAAGAGGTGCTGGGAGTGTGGCGGCTTACTGATAGAGCACTTTCCTAGCACGTGTGAGGTCCTAGGTTCAATTCCAGTGTCACATACACTAAAAGGAGGGAGACTTCATTTGCCATGAAGCCACCTCCTTCTAGGTTAGCAGTAGCATTTAGAAACAGAAGTTGGTTTTTTTTGTTTTGTTTTGTTTTTTGATTTTCGAGGCAGGGTTTCTCCGAGGCTTTTGGAGGCTGTCCTGGAACTAGCTCTCGTAGACCAGGCTGGCCTCGAACTCACAGAGATCCGCCTGCCTCTGCCTCCCGAATGCTGGGATTAAAGGCGTGCGCCACCAACGCCCCGCTAGAAACAGAAGTTTTTAACCTCCTGGGGTGCTCAGAGAATAGCGTTAACCCTCTGGAGTTCACTGGTAAATATGTTCATTGTAATATAAGCCAAGATAGCACCAAAGACAGAAGCCATGTACCCCAACCTCTAACTACATGTAAGGAAGAATCGATTGACCAACTGCACACTATTCTAATTTTACTAGGCTGATTTTGTCCAGGAATTGGTGGCCAACAAAATATTCACAGTGCTACTCATCACTATCAATGCTTTGTACGCTCAGATGGAAGACAGAGAAAGGTGGGAGAATTCTCAATCTCTGCTCAGTCCTTTCAGGAGAAGGAAAGAGAGATGGGGAGAAGGAGCCTGTACCCTCTGTCCAGACAGGAGGAGCCTGTTCCCTCTTCCCAGACAACAGTACCTTGTAATGGAACTTGCAATAGACGGCCTCTCCGTTTGCATTAACCAGCTTGAACGTGTGTGAGCCGTAGCCATTCATGTGCCGATGTCCATCTGGAATCCCTCGGTCACTGAACAAGAAGGAAATCTAAGAAACAGAAATAGAAATCCTCCCATTGAAATTGAAGTGTCCCAAGTTTTTACATGCATGCATTTCCAGAAAATTCCTCAGAACATAGAACGCACCCGCTAACTTTCCCTGGGAGGAGTTACCATTGTTTTGCCTACAGAAAATGAAATTGTAGAGCATGGCAAAGCATGAATCAATAATATTATAAAAATTGTATGGAGAAACATTAAAACAAAATCTGGAAACTAGAATTACACATTCTTTAAGCTTAATTTTAATAGCAAAGACTTTAGCTCATTTTTCTCTCATCTCCCTAATACACAGCTTCACCTCAGACTAGACTTTATTTCTAGTCTGCTAAATATTAACTGATAGCATGTCCAACTATCCAAGCACCATGCCACTGTAAATTCCTTATGATCAAGAAATCTGAAGAAGCACCCAAAAAAAAAAAAAACCAGAAGCCAATTCCAATAAAACACCTGGAACAGTAAGAACATATTATAAGGCCTAATTAACAATGCCACCCAGGTGATACATTATAACAGTAAAAAAGAAGGGTTTCTCACCTGATGGAGGGACTCTGGACGGAGGCACCAGAAGTCCCAGACCATGTCAGGGTCCTTCAGGTGAGTTTGTGGGTTTCTCTTCTGACTATGGATGAAGGATGGAAACTAAATGGGGGTGGGGAAGAAAGAAAGAGTAAATAAAAATCCCAAATGTAAGTTCCACCAAACACACACACACACACACACACACACACACACACACACACACACACGCAAATAGAAATAGCCTCTATCTGCTTCCTAGACAAAACTAGTGCTGACTAATCCTCTAGGCTCTATAATAGAAGCCAGACTTTTGCACTAGTCAGTGAATCTTGACATACCAAATCTAAGGCCAATGGTAATTATCATTTGATCTTATAGAGCAGAAGTTCTCAACCTTCCTAATGCAGTTCCTCATGTTGTGGTGACCCCAGCCATAGCATTATTTCATTGCTACTTCATAACTACAATTTTTCTGCTGTTATGAATCATAATGTAAATATCTGATATGTAAGATATCTGGTATGTGACCCCCTGAGGGGTCACAACCCACAGGTTGAGAACTGCTGTACTAAATTCTGAAAAAAAAATTTTTAAGAGCAACCCAAACAATCCACTTCTTTCTCCAGGGCTTATCCTCAAACTTCAATCCCTAAAAAGAACTGGAAATCAATATAACTCAACAACAGTTGTAGAGAGAGAAACAGTCTATCACCTACCAATAAGGCATCCCTGATGAAGAAAATAGGGGTGTTGTTCCCCACAAGATCCCAGTTACCATCTTCAGTGTAGAATTTCACTGCGAACCCACGAGGGTCACGAACTGTGTCAGCTGAGCCTGACTCTCCAGCTGGAAGATTCAAATGGAAGAATGAAGTGCAGCCAAGTACACTGCAGCCAAGAAGCCATAACTCACAGAGAAACTCAGCATCTTCAGTCCACTTCCTGGAATCAGATTAGTTACTTAAATGTCTGTGGTATTTTTACCACAACCTACCTGCTAATTGGATCGAGACAAAAGAATGAGTTAAAAGTGACAAGAGATCATACATATACCAACAGCTGACAAGATTATCCATTTAAACAGGTAATTAAAGTAAGAAAATAATTATGAAGATTAGAGTAATAAACAGAGAGTGAGTCGTTTGGGGCTAGAGAGATGACTCAGCAGTTAAGAGCACTGGTTGCTTTTAAGCAGAGTTTAAGCCTCAAGTTCAATTCCCAGTACCCACAAGGCAGCTCCCAACCATCTAACGCCAGTTCCTGCAGATATGACTCTCTCTCCTGGCTTCTGAGGACACCAGGCATGCACGTGGTACACAGGTATGTATGCAGGCAAACATCCATACACATAAAATAAAAATAATAAAGACTGAGTTGTGGGGAAGCTGGTATTAAGAAAATTAGCTAAAATACAAGTTTATTAATTATCTCATTCCTTTTTTCATGCCATGATTTTTTGTTTGTTGTTTGTTTTTAAGCACAGAACCTAACAGAGAGACACTGTGATGTGTTAAGATATATATGATAATGTTAGATACAAATACTAATTCTGTAACACAATAATAAAATTTCCTAATCATTCTGGAATATATTAATCCCATACTACAAAGTAGATCTACAGATTACTATAAGTAAATCACCTATACTATTGTTGCTCTATACTTAATTCTCAGTAAAGAGCAGTTGTTACAATGGTTATTAAATAAGATCTCCACTCCATACTTCCCTTTGAGGCAACCCTTGTAGAAAGTTATCTTAAAATGTCATATTCCTTTGTGTCTTCAAACAGAACAGTAACTTCATACATGTCTCTAGATATTTTCTATATAGTAAAACAGGCTAAAATGTACAAAAATACCTGTTTCTTATTTCTTAGTATGGTTTTCTTGAGATTAAGTTATAAATGACCCCAAATAAGGTGCAAGTGGGAGGAACCAAAGGAGGCATGCAAAACAGACCGACTTACCGACTGTGGAGAATCGAACGGCAATGGGGGTCCTCTTTCCAATGTGCTCAAACACCTTTGCCTTACAGTACCTGGTAATATCGTGAGTGACCTCAAAGTATCCAAAGGCACCTAATGAGAAAGTCAGAAGTTCTCAGCACAAGACCATCACCTCAACTATCAGGCCCTCAACACGCACCTGTGACAAGAAAACTACACACCAGCAGCAGCGTTCCAGGATCTGCCAATAGACTGGGGGAGAAGCAGCGAACGCATTGGTACGAGCCAAATGCAAAGCTATTATCACCCAGTGCTCAAATGGGTGCCACACAGCTGGAGCCAAGAGGCGATGATGGGTGCTGGGATTAGGTAGTTGGTCAAGGCTGACCAAAGGACAAGGGCTTTAGAAGGCCTTGAGGCAGAGGCAGGGGCCAAGGAAAGCCACGGCAGGACCCATTTCCGGGGAAGGAGATGGGGCAGAAAGAACAGCTGCCAAACGGCAAATGGAAAGGCATACCAGATGGCAACAGAGAAGACATAAAATGATGGGAAGATGGGCTCATGATGTGGCTTTTTGGAGCCCATTCCCTATGGTGGGATACCTTGCTTGCCTCAGTACAGGGGGAGGGGCTTGGTCCTGCCTCAACCAGACTTCATTGACTCCCCAAGGGAGGCTTTACCCCCTCTGAGGAGTGGACAGGAGTGGGATGGGGGGAGGTGGGAGGGGCTGGAGAAGAGGAGGGAGGGGGAACTGGGGTTAGTATGTAAAATGAAGAAAGTTTTAATAAATTAATTAATTTTTAAATGACAGGAAGAAACTTATCTATAAAGAAGATATGAAATCAGTAAGGCTGTGTTTTCATTCCTTCACTGAACTATATAATGGACACAATAATGAAAGGTTACTGTTTAGTGTATGTGGTACTGGTGACTGAACCCTAGGTTAGCTAGATAAGCACGCCAATACTGTGTTATATCCCCAGTCCTTGATTTATTGAGACAGGATATTTCTGCTTAGCACATGCTGGCCTTGAACTCAGTCTCTCTCTGCCCCTGATTCCCATGTGCTGAAATTACAGGTATGTGGCACATGTCACACCTGGCTGGAAAGTTACTGTTTGTTTGCTTGTTTTGTGTATGTGTGTGGAGGTCAGAGAAGAAACTGGTTATCCTTCATTACTTCCTACCTTTATTTTTTGAGGCAGATCTTTCACTGACCCTGAAGTTCGTCAATTTGGCTAGGCTAGCTGGCCAAGAGCTTTTATCTGCTCCCCTCTCCTCCCACACACCAGAACTGAGTTCACAAGCGCACTATAGCATGTCCGCATTTTTTACAAATGGATGCTGACGTACCCCCAGGTCCTCACAGCTGCGCAGGATGCACTTCACCAACTGAGCTATGTCCCCAGCTCCCAAAAGTTAGTATTTTAAAAACTGCTTTGGGACTGGAGAGGTGGCTAAGCAGTTAAGAGCACTGGCTGCTCTTCCAGAGGACCCAGGTTCAACAACCCACGTGACAGCTCAGAACGGTCTGTAACTCCAGTTCCAGGGGATCCAGTGCCCTCTTGCCTCCTTGGCACCAATTATGTACAAGGTGCACAGGCAGGCAAAACACCCATACACGTTAAACGAATAACTACATGTATACTATATAATATGTATAATCTAACCTAGGCTACTCTTCTATTGATGAAAAGTAGTCTTTTCTTCCAAGAATGGAGCTCGGGGGCTTTACTGAAGGAAGGCTACGTCTGTTAACTACAGAGCTTTGGGAAATCCTTTGAGCCTGGTTAGTAGGGAAGAACACAGACAGCTCTCACCTGCTCCCTTTGCATGCACCACTCTCTCAGGAATTCGCTCTCTGTCAAAATGTGCCATCTCATCAGTGAAAACCACATCCTGAACGAGAAGGGGTCCTCGGGACCCAGCAGTCATGATATTAAGTTTATCTCCTATTGGGTTCCCGCCTCCAGTGGTCAGGACATCCGGTTTCTGTGAGTGCACAAAAGGAAAAGACCTACAGTTAACCCCTTAACTTACTGTCATACCCTGCAATTTTTATACCTTCTTCCTCGTTCTTAAGTTTTCTGTGTGCTAAAGGCTGAAACCCAACAGTCCGTTCTAGGAAATCCTTGTCACACCTCAACATCAACTCCTAAGACACTAGTTCTGGGAAGCAAAGGCGACTAATGTCTGTTACCTGGCAGACATTATCCAGCTGCTACTAGAGATGGGCGGTGGATTCCACACGAGCCTCCAGATAAGCGCCTCCAAAAGAGAACATTATATTCGTGATACCCAATGTCAAAACTAACAGTAACAATTGAAGTAAGGGAGGAGTGAAAATATGAACACAGGAGTCAAGACCACAATGGGGAAACCCACAGAATCAGCTTACCCAAGCTATTGAGAGATCACTGACTCAGGTCTGACAAATGGGGAACCTGCATAAAACCAAACTAGGCTCCCTTAATATAGGTGATAATGGTATGACTGGGACAATATATGAGGCCACTGGCAGTGGGTCCAAGATCTAACTCTAATGTACAAACTGACTTAGTGGAGCCCATTTTGTATGGAGAGATACCTTGCCCAGCCTAGACACAGGAGTGTAGGGGTGGAGAGGTGCCTTGGTTCAGCCTCAACAAGATGATGGGACAGACTTAGTACTTCCTAGGGGAGGCCTCACCCTCTTTGTGGAACAGATGGGGGGGGAGTGGAGGGTTTGGGAGGAAAGGAAGGAGGAGGAACTGGGACTGGAATGTAAAAAAATAAATTAATAACCCCCCAAAAAACCTAACAGTAAAAAGATGGTCTTTCAAAGAATTCATGCCAGCTGGAGCTTCCCTTAGGGCTGAGTTTTGTCATGCCTTGGAGTTTACTGACTTACAATCCACACTGGGGACCTTTAGAAGTAATGCTGTGGGTAGACACTCAGTTTTCTAAAGTTGTATGTGTGCTGGCTAGGTGTGGAATCACTTCTTACTTTAAAAAAACAAACAATAACAGTAACAACAACAACAAAAAATTCTGTGCCTTTTGACTAAAAACAATTGTTCTGATATATGTATTATAATATTACTGATATTCTAAAGAAGTCACTGTCTCTGAAACAGGGCAGGATATTTTACTTCACCAAACAACTACTTGTAATATGCACCGTTTCCTCATCTAGTTACAGCAGATGTCTCCTGGCTTTCCCTCCTGAGTGACCAAGGTCCCACATGATACTGTGCACACCCTAGCTCTATTTTCCCCCATGGCTACAGAGGTGGTTTGGATGAAAATGGCCCCCATAGGCCCATAGGGAATGGTACTGTACAGTGAGCTACACATGGAAGAACACTGAGAAAGTCACTTTGGAATTCGTAAAACTCATAAACAAAACTCTGCCACTTGACCAAATTTCCTAAATCATTAACAGATTGGCCTCGAGTACATACAATTCACCTCCAAAACAAACAAACAAGACAGAAACGACTTTAACAGGCGGCAGTTCAGAAAAGAGGCCAGAGGGCAAAGACTGAAAAGGAAGATTGCCTAACTTCAGGGAATACTCAGGGGAGCACAGGACAGAAATCTGATGCACTGGGAAGCAGGTCTTGCTCAAGGGTCAAGTACTTTTCTCATATGCATGAGGCTCTGGGTTGGATCCTCAGCCCTGAAAACAATTATAGTGAACCTCATAATGCCGCCATGCAATAAAGATTTACCAACTAGAATGAGCTGGTGGGGCTGGAGAATAGGCCACACAGTTATTTCACTTAAACACCCCAATAATTTCATGAGACCAGTGTTAGGAAAATTGGTTTTACCATTGTCTTTGGAGGAAAATGGTAAAGGTCAGGTCCCACCCTCACCGAGCCAGGACTCCAACAACCGACTGAATATAGTCACTGGGTTACACACATGAGAAATGTTTTGTCAAGCAAAGCTATGCTGTCTTATTTATAAGTTACATGAGTAAACAGGTCACAGTAGTTGCTAATATATCTCAAATATTCACTTTGTTGTTTCATGGTCAAAACACTGCTACTAGTTTTCAATAATTAAAAACCATTTAAAATAATCTTTTTACAAAGATCAGATCTCCCAAGTACACAAAATAGTGACTGCAAAGAGGGGTTTTCTCTGTCTTGAAAATAGATCTAAAATTTGTTAGCACCATGACTGGCCTGATCTACTTCAGTTATTCATAGGGCAGAGAGCAGAGGGAGAGTATGGAGAGAAAGGCTTAAGAATTGAAACATAAATCATCAAGAGATGAAAAATACCCCTTTCCTTTTTTTCATTAGAAGTGGCAGAGTTGAGGTTCTTTAGAAAAGGAAGCTAACAACAAAAATGATAACCATGAATTAATATTTTCTGATTTACACTTCCTTTACAGTCAGCTCCTGCTTTCTAACCTAGGGGAAAAAACATGAATAGCCTAGACTGTGGGTTACACAAAGACTTATCAAAATGTGACTCCCTGTGCCATGCCTCTCCTGCTGACACACTGTGACTGAGCAACTCTGCTCCTCCTGCTTGCATGAGACATGAAAGCTCATAGACACCAACAGTTAATTCGGCTACTCCCTCTCCATCCCTCCTGTTGGCAGTGTGCCCTTAACACACTGATTATCAGGGTTAACCTCAAAAACATAAATTCTGTTACAGAAAACTCACAACAGGAAGAACAGGCTAAGCCGAAGACTCTCCCCACTAATAAGGGGATAGGACAGAGTCAGGACTCTGATGTTCAAGTTTTCCAGTGGTCAGAGGTGACTTATTAAACCTGGGTATGGCAAAGGAAGAGCCCATGTGATCTGAACAGTGGGCAGCAACACTCCTGTTTCAGTTCCAGGCAAACTTCTGAGGATACCTGTAGAACGGTCTCTTCAATGTATTTTGAGAAGAAGAGAGAGATACGTTTTTTAGATGGGCGTACGTCATGCTTATGAAAACACTGGACTCAATGCTCAACGATCAATGTTCACAAAGCTTGCAATTCACTTGTCAGCAACATCTGCTCACCAGAAGACTCCCGTTTTCTAAATTGTTTTCACAGTAATCAACACTCTAGTTCTGGTTCTAAAGAAGGGTCCATCCAACTTGGCACTGGGCATCTGGTTCTCTTTTTTTTCTTCTTCTTCTTCATCATCATCTTTTTTTTATTTAAATTAGAAACAAGCTTGCTTCACATGTCAATCCCAGCTCCCACTCCCTCCCCTCCTCCCTTGACCCCTTCAACCCCCCAATCCCACTCCACTCTCCTGGGAGGGTGAGGCCCTTCATGGGGGAATCTCCAAAGTCTGTCATTATCATCGGGGACAGGGCCTGGGCCCTCTCCCATGTGTCCAGGCTGAGACAGCATCCCTCCACGTGGAATGGGCTCCCAAAGTCCATGTGGATGCCAGGGATAAATACTGATCTATGGGCATCTGGTTCTTGAGAAAGGAAATAAGTCAGTGCTGATAGTTTCAACATTTACATTTACAGCTCTAGTGAAAGTAAAAGAAAGGACATCTTAATGTCATAAAAACAAAATTAATACAGTCTAAAAAGAGACTGAAGTCTTCTAACTCATCGTCACATTACAAGAAAATACATGGATAGATTCCCAGGAACTATGAAGTGTGTGTTTTAGATGGCATAATAATGTGGCTTCCTAGACCACACTTCCTTCCCAACTTCCCTTGCACATATTCCATAACACAGTTGCAACTAAGGCAATTGGAATGGAAGTGAATCTGATTCCTAAGCTTCCCAAGTACCCTTCTCCATATATTTAACCTTTCCGTGGATGAACATCATGCCTCAAGTACTGGGGAGGGGGGGGGCTTTGCTGTTGTTCTTAAAAATACTTACCTATATGTGTATAAATGTTTTGTTGCATGCATGTATGTGCACTATGTGGGTACAGTACCCATGGAGGCCAGAGAGGGCGCCAGATCCCCTGGAACGGGAGCTAAAGACCATTGCGAGTCACATGCGAGTGCTGGGAACCCAGGTCCTGGGCCAGGGAAAGCAAGTGCTCTTAACTACTGGGCCATCTCTCCAGGCCCCTGCTTCAAGCACTTAGAACCAAGTACTAATCAATGGGAAGCCACCTTCAGCTAAGGCCCTCAATAATTATGAGGGACAAAACACCCCTACTGTTTTCAACCTCAAACCACTCTGAACCATCACACAAGTAAGAATGAAATTTCTGATGTGTTTGTGTCACTGTGTATGTTGGACACCATTATTACAGCACTTTGCCCACACAAGACTGAACTTAAACGAGGGCCATGAATCAATCGTGAAAGGACAAACCATACAATTTTAAAAGGATGTAAGAGATACCAACAGATTACACAGGAGCCTATGCCCATGGTCATCAGACATCTAAAAGGGTGTTCTGCGCCTCTAGTCCATCAGAGCAAAGTAAATTAAAACCATGGAGAGAAATGACTAATTAAAAGTCTGACAACAATAAAAGCTGACAGGAAGTAAGGCAACCAGAACTCCCATGTTATTGATGGAAATGTAACAAGGGACAACCACTTTGGAAGATGACTGGGCGGTTTGTCCCTAAAACAGCCATTAGCCCTACAGCCCCAGTATATCTACTGTAAATAGTTTGGGTTTTTGTCTTACTTAGGACAAGATTCTGACAATATAACTCAGGATGTCTTTAAACTGGTGATCCACCTGCCTCTACTTCCTTAGTACTTGGATCACAGGCATGTGCTAGCAGATCCAGCTGTTTTCTAGGAAAAATCCAAGTGTAGGTGTATAAAAATGACTAGTATAAGAATTTTCATATCAACTTTATTCATAATAATCCAAACCTGAAAACAAGCCAGGTGTCCAGCAATAGTATAAACAAACAGTGGCCTGGTCACATAACAAGCAGTACATAGTGTGGAAAGTTCTAACTGCTGATACATGGCCCAACATGAATAACTGGAAACCATTTTTGCTAAACACATAAACAAAAGAGAGCCATATACAAAAATCCATAAATCAATAGTTTAAATCACCCAGAACACTAATTTCCTACATCAGACAGGGTGATGGTAACCTTGTTTATACCTTTTCAAGGATAGGCCCTTTATTTGTTTGCTTTTTATCTTTGTGTGTGTGTATACAGGCATTAATTCATGTGTGTGTGGAAGTCTGAACAACCTCCGGTGTCAGAGCTCACTTTGTTTAAGCTGTTTTCTACTGTGTATGCCAGGTTAGCTGGCCTGTGTTCTCCTGTCTCTATCCCCAACTCTGCATAGGACACTGGGACTATAAGGTACACACTACTATAGAGTTTTCCATGCATTCTGGGGGTTTGAACTCACATCCTCTCGCCTGCACAGCAAACACCTTACCCAGGGAGGCATCTTCTCAGTCCAGCCTTGGCATCTTGACAAGGGTTCAGGATGTAATGGTATATGTGTGTCTTAACCCTTGCTGAACAGAACACATAAATCTACATGTCTCACATCTCTACATGCATGCAAATATCACTGTAAAACTGCACCTGCACACCATACTCTCCATTCGTATCCCTGCAGGGTTCAGGTATAAAATATAGTGGTGATGAGGTACACTAAAAAAAATCACTCATCTCATGGATGAATAAGGGAAAAAGGGACATGGATAATCTTATACAAAAGGTAACTGTACAATCCAGAAGCTGGACACTTAGGTAGGTAGTGCAGATCTTTCCAGCTTTTCTGACTTGCCACCTTTTCATAATCAAGTGCTTATCCAGGCTATACAAGAGATGCTAATTTCCTTCCAGGAGGTAGAAGGACCCCTAGAAATAGATATTCACTCAGAGTAGCACAAATTGAAGAAGTAAAGATCAGTATCACCATCAACAGGTGACACTCACAGAGCACGGAAACAGGAGAGAGCAACATTTCAGCTGAGACCCCCGGTTTTATCTTGTGTTTGTTGGCCTGCTGCACCTCACCTGAGAAATCAACAGCTAAGGCTTACTTTACCCCCAAATAAGTAACAGGCAAACTGATCTCAGAATAAACAGGTCACTTTAAAGAACAAATGTATTTTACTTTCTACTTTCACCTCTCTGACCAAGTGTGTCTCAGTTCACCAAGTATCCGTGACAGTAAGAACCAGGCTTCAGCAGCCAGTAGGTACTCAACAGGTCCTGGCCCTAAGGAGCCCCGTTCTAATCTTGGCCCTACCACTAACTAGCTGCACGTCCTTGATTACGACTCTATGTCTTTCTGGTTCACTCGAAGAACTCAAGAAAAGAAACAGAACGGACCTAGTTGAAAATAATGAATGAAGATGGGACCAAACTCAGTCCAGGAACACTTGGCACTGACCCCCCACCCACCCACCCAGTTCACCAACAAGAGTATGGTTTTAAGAAAGAGCAAGGGGGAAAGGATCCTCCAGCCCCGCCCTCAACATATTAACCAGAAGCCATGGGACTTCTGTTTCTACTGTCTCAAAGATGCCCAGGTCAGGATTGCCCCTAAGTCTGTTGAAATCCCTGCTATCAGTGAAGACATTGTAACAGTGTCTTTGCCCATGGGAAGCCTTGCAACCAATTCCAAAACTCACTATACACTCCACAGCTAGTCTGCCATCAGAACTAGATGGTAATCATCTGTTTATACATCTTCTCAGTCTTGACTCTAACCTTCTCCAGGGTGTGGTCTTGAGAATTTGTACATCTTGCCCAGCATTGTGAGGCTTAGCTGGCACATACTGGCACTCAAAGTTCTGGGAATCAAAACAATGATCACCGCCTAATGTCATTGCCAGTTCTATAATACGAGATCTTTTGCTCATAAGTGCCAACGAAACAATGCTTGTAAAAATTCTCTTTACTTAATCGTTGAATGTTGTGTCTACTGCATCTCACCATAAATACTACTGGGGGCACAGGACCGGGTACCTCCCAAACACCAAAACGAGCAAATTTAAGATTTCACAAATAGAAAGTCGAAGCTGACTCCCACTTCCTGGTTCATAGACCTAAAGAGTCTCCCTCAAGCTGTGACCTCTGTCCCAGATGCCACAAGTTCCAAACTAGGAGCCACCCGCCCTGTCTTGCAGGCTGGCAGTCTCAACCCCTTGCTCCGCGGAATGGAACGGTCCGTGGGACAGAAAGCAGACACCCGCGCTCGGCCAGAAGGGCAGTCCCAGCGCAGGCCACCCAAAGAGAGCCCCTGCCGTTACTCGCCGCCGCCCACTCTCTCATAGGGTTCTGGGAGAACACTGGGTACCTGTGAGGACCGTTGTTCCTTCCAATGCTTCATCTGGTCGCTGGCTGGGTCCCGGCTATCCGCCATGGTGTAGGATTTCTGAGCTGCAGAGCGTGGCAGGTAGGACAGCTGGGTGCACTGGTAGTCTCTACCCGGGGTAAGCAATCACAACGGCCAGGCTGGCTGGAGAGGTGACTTTAGGCTCCGCCAATCAGCACCACCATCGAACCACCCCTCGGAATGGCCGCCACCTGATTGGTCACTGGTACTCTAGAAGGGACAGGATTGGAAGGAGGGTGGGGCGAGAAGCGGGAGCTCTTGGAGATGGGCCCGGGAATGGGAAGAGGGGAAGTGACCAAAGGGTTATACTGGGCTCCTCCAAGGTGCTGCTTGAGCAATGAGAGTCGCAATTCCTCATTTTAATTCCAGATCTAATTCCTCTGTGCAAAGTTTTCTCACTGGTATACGCCTTTTTTTGTATTAATGGGTGGGTGGTTCCTTTTCCTCCTCCCTTCTCTTACTCACGGATCATCACTCACCAAGTTATATAGCAATAATTTACTATAACAACACTCAGAACCATTTAACGTTACCACAGATGGGTGAGGATCTCCCCCTCTCTGAGAGGGCAACAAAGAACGGCCTTGTGACATGGCCCACTGTGTCCAAGTGGCCTCTATTGACTACAGTGGCAGGCTCTTCCATTTTCTCCCTAACAAGGAAGAATTGTGAAAAGTTTTCGGGGGAAAGGATCTATGTTGGGTCTGGGGATAGGGCTCAGAGGGTAGAGTGCTTGCCTCGAATGCACAAAGCCCTGGGCTTAGTCCCCAGAATCATACAAGCTGCATGGTGTGCAGGCCTGTACCCCAGCAGAGGGGAAGCAGAGGGTCAGAGAAGTTCAATGTCATCCCCAGTTAATAGTGCATTTGAAACAAGACTGGGATAGGAGACTCTGTCTCCAAAAAACAATTTTTTTCTAAGCCAGAAAATAAAACATTTACTAATAGGTGTAAACATTTAGTGAGCTTATGCCTTGTTTTTTATTTCAGTCAATAGATTGACTATTTTCTCTCAGATGCTATGATTTGTCTCTAAACATCTTGATACACATGTGTAGATGCCATGACTTTCAAATTAAACCTTCTTAACTTTCACCTTAATTATGGACTGTGAACATGTGATTGAGGACATTTCAAATCTTATTCTTGATCTTATAAAGATGTGATAACAAAAATCTCAGTGGTAAAAGTTTCGCACTCCCTTGGGGAAACAATCACATATTCTACTGTATTTTTCCTATATTGTACTTAACACAACTGCAAAATTGCCATTCACTGTGCAATTTATTGGTGTCTTTTGCTGTATCTACATGCATACTGTCCCTAGAATGTGAAGCCCATGACGACAGTGACTATCACATCTAAAATTCCATAAGGCCAACAAAATAGTTCAGGAAGAAAATCACTTATTGCCAAGCCCAATCCCCAATACCCACAAGGTAGAAGGAAAAACCCAACAGCCAAATATCTTCTGACCCACCAAAACACACACACACACACACACACACACACACACACACGTTCGTGCACAGGGCTGGGATATAGTTCAGTGGTAGAGTACTCACCTAGCATATGTGAAGCCCTACCACAAAAATAAATGATAGCAAAAGTAAAAAAAATATGGAGTTAGCAAGAGAGCTCAGTGAGTAAAGGAGCCCCCTGCCAAGCCTAACCACCTGATTTGATACCCAGGCCCTACATGTTAGAAGGTGAGAACTGACTCCCAAAAGTTGTCTCTATTTCACTTGTGTACACACACACACACACACACACACACAATTAAATGTAACACAAATTGAGTGTTTACTATATATCATGGATTGCTTGACTGTTCACTTTTTTAATACATTTGCTTAGTTGACCCAACAACACTGTAATTTATATACTAATTTTGTCCTTATTACATGGCCTAAGAAACTGAGGTATAAGGAGGTTAAATAAACAACTTACCCAAAGTCATACAATTACTGACAGACACAATCAAAATTCCAGTCCTGTCCACTCCTCTCCAGAGCCAGTGGCTTGCTAGTTAAGGTCAGTGTTGAGTGAAGAAGCAGTGTCAACCTCTTCTCTGTAGCTAGAATACACCTGAACAAAGTAAATAAGAGAGCCCTGAGTCATGTGTTCACCTTCATTCCTGGTACAGACGTGTCTTGTTTGGTTTTGGGTTCGTTCTTTCTTCCCTTTGTTTTTTCTTTCTTTCCTCTGTTTCTGTTACTGTTGTCTTGGATTCCTAAGGAGTTGTTTCCAGAAGAAAAAAAGAATAAAGAAACAAGGTCTTGTCATGTCTTGCATTTTAAAATAAGGTGTGTACTTCCAACAACGGCAATGAGTTTATACTGGCTTGTAAGCAGAATTCCTAACCATCATCTTTAGGATTACAATTTAATCATAGTTTAGGTGGCAACACGTCTGAAGATTTCTGATAGCTTCAAGAAGTACTTGGAACCCGATCTCTCTGATTCCTTGAGGCAATTCCAAGCACTGAATTCAACAGACCAACTTGTTCCCATTTTATTCATATAAGCACAAGTATTTTGTTGGCATTTAATAAAGTTGCTATTTAGGAAATGCCGTTCTCTGATTGTTCAGAGCTCAATGAAGTAGAATACACTGGCACAAACCATACTGCTGTTAATCCTGGTATAAGGGCATCTAAAGTCCAGGCTAAATGTCAAGAGATGAACTTGGACACTCAGTTAGGGATCTCCGTGAGTAAAATCTCTCTCCTCAAGTGGAAGAAGGTAGAAGATGTATGTCTTGGATGATGACAGTGGCAAGCCCCAGGAAAAGTCACACCAACCAGAGTAGCTATTTACTTAGGTCTTGAGTCCACCCACCCATCCAAGAAACAGAATCTTCTACACATTTCGATTTAATTTTCTTCACTGTGGCTTTGAGAGATAAATGCGGGTAAGTAGCGAAGAGGGGGGAAAGCACAATGAAAAAGAGAACGATTTCCTTTTATAATAAGCCTTGGCTATAAGGGGAGGGCACAAATGCCCCCACCCCTCCCCAAGTCCATCTCCAGTCCACCATGGATCTGGCCTGAGCAGCAAGAGAAGAAGACAAAATTCTAATTCTAAAAAAAAAAAAAAACTTTGAGCCTTGGACAGCAGATCAGTACCCATCCCAAGTATACACACGGTCTCTGGACTCCCATAGAACAATGTGAGGTGCACTCTCACCCTGAACTCTTGGGGAAGGGTCTAGGCCCTGCCCTATATGAAATGACAGACTATGGACACCCCCATGGAGGGCCTCACCCTCCCTGGGGGAATGAGGGGATAACGGGGGGGGGGGATGGGGGGAGGGCACGGGAGGAGGGGAGGGAAAGGGAGAGGGACCTCGTACTGACTTGTGAAGCAACCTTGTTTCTTATCTAAATTTAAAATGGAAAATAAAAAAAATATTAATAAAAAAAACAAATAAGAAAAAAAACCTTCTTTTCTACATGGCCATGTCATGTAACCCCAACTATTTCACCCCAACCCTTAGTGCTTCAGAAAGAGACAGCCAAGGTTTACCCTGTGTCTGCTGATGGCCATAGGTCTGGAAAGAACAAAGAATCCATGTGCCCTTATTCTCCATTCCTTGTGTACCATGCTACTAATCTAGTGCTGGAGAAAAGAGAAACACAGAAACCAGATGGGGGCTTGCTTTTACTTCTGCTTCTTTTTAACAAGACATGTACTGCATGCATGCAAAGCTTGGAAACTGCAGACTAATACACCAAACAGTCCTTTTTACCAGTGTTTTATCTCTTATACATTAGGGTAAGAGAGAGGGGGCTTAAATAAATGGTGTAGAATATGTAACTGTGTCACGCTTTTCTTAATTTTCATTTATTTATTTACTTACTTACTTACTTTTTTTGAGACAAGTTATCATGCATTCTGAGCTGGCCTCCAACTCTCTATGTAGCTGAAGATGACATTGAACCTCTGATCTTCATTCTTCCCATCTTAGTAACTTTCATATTGCTGTGATAAAATGCCATGACCAGAAGCAACTTATGGAAGAGATCATTTATTTTGACTTATGGTTCCAGAGGGGTAAGAGTCCACGCTGTGCAGGGGCTGGGGACACTGACAAGCAGCAGGCATAAGAGGCAGGAGCAGAAAGCTGAGACATCACATCAGGAGGCAGAGAGCGGGAACTGGGAGCAGGGGGAGACGACATGCTCCCCAAGCCCACACCCAGTGACATACTCCCTCCAGCAAGGCTGGACCGCCAAGCATTCAGATACACGAGTCTATGGCATGGGGCATTTCTTATTCAATCCACCACACACCACCTCCCCAGTACCGGGAATTACAGGTAAGTGCATGCCGAGATGTTTGGTTTATGAGGTGCTGGGGATGGCTTTGTGCATGTCAGGCAAGCATTCTGCCAACTGGGTCATGTCCTCAGCCCCATGTCCTGCCTTTCGCATTTAGCATTCCAGGATGAAGTTTTTCTCAACCCTTTTCTATACCTACCCACACACACACACAAAAATAAAGTTATTTTTCCCTCCAGATAGTTGAAGAATTTGCAAAGCAGGTCTCTTTGTTTACTCATTCCCTTAGGCTGATCATTATTTTTTTCCTTCCAATTGTAACAGTGTAGTTACTTCCTTTCTCTTTATTTGCACTCATTTCTTTGAGGTTCATTTGAGAAGTCACCTTTGGTTCAAACCATGTGAGCGTGTTGAGGCTCCCGCAACATTTTCTCTGATGTTCTCCGTAACACTGAGCCAGCTTACACTCACTGGCTCTCAGAATGTGGTTTTGGTAATAAGATTTAAAAGGTGAGTGGGTGTATTCTAGATATTTCTAAGTTACATGTTTTATTAGATCCTTCAGAATCTAGCCAGGTGTGGCGCATGACTACAGTCTTATCACTAAGGAGATAGAGATAGGAGGATCTGGAGCTCAAAGCTCCCTAAGTTCTGGGTCAGCCGGGGCTGCTTGCGACCCTGTTTCAACAAAACATTCAGAATCTAATACAGCTGTATATTTTATTGGATTTTTTAAAATAGATATACACCTCTCACATGGCGTTCAGTCACCACCACAACCGTGCAGAATTCACACAGCCAGTCTGCTGCCACGCCCTAGGCTTTTGTCGGTGAGTACAGACAGCTAGTTTAT